GCTGACAGCAGGGAAGAGGAGGTGTGCTCTCTGGCCTCTCCAACCTTGCTGCAACAGGCTTGGAGGCCAGGGTCCTGCTGGTCAAGGGAAGGAAGAAGCCAGTTCCCCAGCCAGGAACAGGAAGGCAGGGGGAGTGCAGCAGAGGCCAGGATGACAGAGCTTCCTGCTATGGGAAGGGAAGGGCAGTGGAGACAGACAACAGCCAGGCAGGAAGGATGCACCTTCTTCAGACTACAGGTGGGGGCTGGGCGGGCATGGAGCAACCAGAGGCAGAGCCCTCAGGCCCTCATCTGCCCAGGGGCTGGGCAGCTGGGATCACACAGTCCATAGGGAGCCTCCACACTAAAGGGGGAAGCATCTTTTTCAAAGCAACAACAGGGTCTGACACGATTCAACCTAAAGGCAGACCTCAGTGGTCTGTTTAGCCATCCACTTATCCAACCATCTGTCTTGCATCCATTCACCAATCTATTCAGCAGTCCACCCTTCTGCCCATCTGCTTGTCTATCCATTCTTCCGTCCACCCACTCATTTAATCATTCAACATGTATTTGTTGAGCCTTTATTCTGTGCCAGGTGCTGGGCTAGGCCCCAGGTAAAGTAGAAAAGAGAAACATCACTGAAACTTATTGCCAATGGAAGATGTAGACAAACATAAATAAATAAGTACAAATTACCGTCAGAAGGACAAATGAGTGACCATGAGGCTGAGATGGAACCTAAATAGGGAACTTAAGTTTTGTAAGGGTGAGGAGGTCACATCAAAGCTGAGGACTTGGAATGAGAAAAAGCCAGCTGTGCAGGGCCCGGGAGAGGAGGCATCAGGGAGATAAGGTACATGCAAAGGCCCTGGGATAGGAAGGAACATGACATACTGCAGACAGTGTGGAGGAAGTAAACACGAGGTGAAAGCAGATCACTGTCTAGGGCTTGGAGAGCTAGGCAGAGGCCAAGTTTCCATCAGGAATTTAGATTTTCCTGGGCATACAGTGGACAGTCACAGACCTATTTTAAGCTAAGGGTGATAAGGTCCTTCTGCAATTTAACAACATCGCACTGTGTAGAGGAGGAATAAAGGAGGGCAGAGCAAGTCCAGGGACCACTTTGGGCCCAAGTTGGAGCAGGAGAGCAGGGGCCAGCTCTGGGATGCGGCAGGCTTGCTAGGCTTTGTGAGGCTGGACAAAGGGGGAGGGAGAGGCAGTCACCCATGTGACTGTCATTGAGGAGATGGGAGATGCTGAGGCAGGAGGCTCAGTGAGGTCAACATCAACTACTTGGAACTCAGTACATCTGCTGGATATCAGACGCTGAGCTGAGAAAAGTGATCTGCACAGAGATTTTGGAATAGTCTGGACCCTTGAGAGAGGACGAGCAGCAACAGGAATTAGTATTGATGGAGGAATGAGGGAGAGTGAGGTCACAGGAGCCAGTAAAAGGAGGGGACAGCTCTACTCCTTGATCTTGTCTGCCCGCTTGATCCGTGGCGTGGTCACCAGAGGCAGCTCCGTGAAGCTGGGGTGCAGCCTGTTAAGGACGTGGGAGTGTAGGGAAGGGCATAATGAGCAGAGCCTGGCTACAGAAAGAAAGAGGAAACGGGAGGGGGTGTGATTAGAGAAGTGTTTTACAGGTGGGAGATGATTCCGTGGAGAAAGCGATGGACAGAAGAGGAAGGAGTTATCGATGAGTAGCAGGTCAAGGGGCGTTGGGACCTGAGTAGAATGGAGAGTTCGCTTTAGGAGCAGGAATCTCAGAAGGCCACAGAAAAGGGACAAGGAGGTATCTCCGTCTGCTGTTTCTCACTGTTCATGCTGGGAGGGAGGAAAACCCTGATGTGCTTTTGTGGAGGCCTGGGGGGAGCCTGCATACAGGAAGATAAAGAGGAAGCAGCCAGGGTGAAAGCTTTCCTACTGCGCTGTGGAGCTGCTTGCAGACAGGATGGTCTGCAGTGGAGAGCAAGAAGCAAGGGACGATCAGAAGGACGGACCGTGGACCACCACTGCACAGGACAGTGGGGAGGGAGCGTTAGGGGCTTTTGATGAGGCAGAGGATTAGCAGGGCAGAGCAGCCGCCTCGAGCCTCGGTGGGAAGGAGGGAAGAGGGGAAGCAGGAAGGAGACCCTCAGGGGCGGTGCAGGGTCTGGTGAGGACTGCATCCAGGGTGTGCCCTGGAAGCCAGTGGCCGGGGGGGCATGGAGAGGAAGATCTCAAAGACCCTGGGATGGAGGAGTCATCCGTATGGATATCGAAGTCATGGAGAACGGCAGGAGCAGGAAACCAGGAGCTATGGTCAGCAGAGAATGAGGGGAAGTGATCAAGAAAGAAGCTGATGACAGCTTTAGTGGGGAGAGGGTGGTGCCATCAAAAGCAGGCGCCTCGGGGGGTGCTGGGAGGAGGCCAAGAGGAAGGCCAGCATTAACTGCCCCTGGCCTGGCAGTGGTGTCCTCAAAAAGCCAGGTTTCACAGAAGACCAAAGGGAAGAGGCAGATGGTCCTGCTCAGCATAAGGGTGGGGGTGCTTCCTTTGCTGAGGCAGTGCCAACTGGGAGGACATGGCGTGAGCTCTCTCCTCCTCACCCCGACCCCGTCCACCCACCACCCGTCTGTCCACTTACGCACCTGGTGTTCCGTCGTGTACCTCTCCCATTTCCTGTCTGCATCCCTGAATCTTCACCACACATCCCATCTGGGACTGAGGAACGTGAAAACTGAGTAGTGTTCTGGTCAGAATCCCGGAGGGAAACAAGACGGAAACTGCCTGAAGGATCACGACCACTCCACGGGGAGGGACCTGTGACTGAGACCTGCTTGAGAGAGATCTACAGGCCAGAAGGAAGCTGGCACGTCCCTGACCAAAGGCAAAGCAAAGGCTTCAAGACTTCCACTTTGTGAGCAAGTTGAGAGGTCCTGTGCTTCCCAAGAGTGGAAGCTGGAGAGAAGCGAGGGACCAGAGGTGGCTGCGCTTTACCATGGAGACAGCAGAGGGAAGCCACCATAGGAAGCTAGCTGAGCTGCCATGGCTCTGTAGCTGGCCACTGCCAGAGGCAATACAGATAGTACTTGAGGGAGTAGACAGCTCAGCATAACGCCTGCCTCACTCAGATGTGTCCTCTCTCCCACAGTGAGGACACCCAGTGGGCTAGGCAGGGGACCCCAGCACTACGGCTCCCTGTGGTGACATGCAAGTCCTAGACTTGACCTCTGATTGGATCTGTCAACAGGGAGGACTCGGGACAGGGAGGGCCCGCACCCCCACAGGTCCAGACCCCCTCTCACCATGCCCCCAGTCTTCTGTAGCCCAGAGGACAGAACACCAGTCCCCTGCCTCCCCACACCCTTGCCCGCCTGTGTCCCTGCTGTGGCCTTATTCACTCTGACCGCCAGAGAAAAATCCTCCTCTCTTTCAAAGCCCAGTTCAAAGGTCCTGGGGATTTTCTCCTGGGCCCTCACTGTACTTAAGGGAACCTTGTCAGGTGGGACCCTCTATTTGGTGTCAGCTGTCTCTTCAGCGGCGGGGCAGGGCACAGTGCTGCCCAGTGCCTGGCCCTCTGACTTGCGTGGGAAACGGTAGCAGAATTCAGGGCCGTCTTCCACCTAAGGGCCAGGGGCAGGTTACCTAAGTGCAAGGAAGAGGTGCTCAGGAGGGAGGACTTTGCAGCAGTGCTCTGGTCAGGCAAGGGGCCACCTTGCTTTCTTAGGGGAGGCCTCAGTTCCCCTGTCTACATGGTGGTAGCAAATGCTTCAGAAGCACTTTTCAGCTCATGGTGCAGTGGTACCTGGAAGGGTCTAGAGTGAGACAAGATGGGAGACATGACATCTGTGTAATGATGAACACCGTCTTGGTGCACGGAATGTGCTATCCTGGTATCACTTGAGCTGGACAGCGTGGGGTCAGGGTGTGTAGAAACACATGGTGGTCCTCCAGCCCTACCCCACTCCACAAGCTGCAGGGCAGGACCCTGGGGCCTTGGGAGCTAGAGAGCAAAAGTCTTGGACTTCCATTCCCTCTCAATCTTGAAGGAGTAAAAGAGGGTTAAGGCAGGAGAATGGGCTTTGCTACCCCCCAGGAGGAGAAGAACTGTGGGGGGTGGGGAGCATGGACAGGACACAGCACTGGGCCTCCAGCCACACAGTCCTCCCTTCCTGTTGTCTCAGGATGGTCCTGGCAGGATGCATCTGCCAGAGTTCCAGGCCCACACCTCCCCCGAGGTCTGCACCCACCCCCACCAGGATCCCTCCACAGCTGCAAGCACATAAGGACATGTCAGGTACACAACTACATATGCTTACACACACACACACACACACACACACACACACAGCAATACATATCACAGAGTCACACACCCAGGCAAATGCAAACAGATGTGCACACACAGAAGACCACACCTCTCGACACATATAAATACACATACCATTTGCTGGGAGGAGGCTGGGTGCAGAGTTGTATGGGCAGCAGGACAGGAGGCCTGGCCGCAGGTGCCTGTGGTCATGGAGAGGTACAAACAGGTAAAGCAGCCACATCCACGCACCTGAGGAAGGCGTCAGGGGAGATGGAAGTGTAGGAAGGCCTGGCGGGTGGAGGAGCAAGTGGAGCCTGAGGCAGACTCCTGGGACACAGGCAGACCTGGCCTGGGCATGCCTGGGGAGGCCTGGGAGGAGCAGGGCCACCTTATAAGCACTGATGGTCTGGAGTGTAGCAGGGATGGGCTTCAGGCAGAGATGTGGGGCTCGACACCACACCCCTGCCGCCCACCATAGGAAAATGCCAGGGTTTCAGGTTCAGTCTCCCTGAAGTCCAGAGCCACTTGGGGCTGGACTCAGGCTGTGGGCAGGAGGCAGCCGGAGGTGTAGCTTACTGAATATCTTGGGGTATACATGGGGAGGCCTGGATGTGAGAACCACCAGACTGCTCCTACCCAGAAGAGGGGTCCCAGAAGACCCAACAGCAACTGTTCTGTGAACTCATGGCCCCTGGGCACACTAAACCCTGTTTCCTACCCAGGCCTGGTGAGAGGCTACTCCATGACCCCCCCAACCCTGAACGTCACGGAGGAGGTGCACGTCATCAACGCCAGTGACAGCCTAGCCATCTCCTGCAGGTACAGGGGCCTCCCACCTGGCAGCCCCAGGAGACTGCAGAAGACTGAGGCAAAGAGGCTAAGAGGGTTCCCAGAACTGGGGCGCCTGCAGGTTCTCAGACACGGGCACTTTCTGCTTACCCAGCTCACCCCCAGCACCGCCCCCACCCCAGCTACCCTGCACTGGCCCAGGCCAGCCTGCAACCACAGCTCTGGGAACCGAGCAGAGGTGCTGCACCGCAGGCTGGTTCTGCAGTGCGTGCCCCGGACTGCCCTGTCCCCAGTGTAGACACAATGGGCAAAGCTCTTGGTCTTGGAGGAGGTTTCTCAGGGACTGTCCCTATGGGCCGCAGGGGGCGAAGGTCCTCCTGACCTCTCCTGTCCTCTGCCAGGGGACAGCACCCCCTTGAGTGGGCCTGGCCAGGGGCTCCAGAGGCACCAGCCACAGGGGAGAAGGACAGTGAGGACTCAGGGGTCGTGCAAGATTGTGAAGGCACAGACACCAGGCCCTACTGCAAAGTGCTGCTGCTGAGCGAGACCCGGGCCAACAACACAGGCAGCTACCGCTGCTTCTACAAGTACATCAGTGCCCGCATTGAGGGCACCACAGCCGCCAGCACCTACGTGTTCGTGAGAGGTGAGCTGGGGATGTGCAAAGGGGCCAGGCACAGCCAGACCCTGTGGTGTTCAGTTGGTGCCCCTCCAGCAGGCAGGGGTGAGGGGACCTCCCCTACTCCCAGTGGCAGTAGGCAGTTGGAAAAACCTCCCCAGTACCAGGAAGCTGCCTAGCTGCACCCAACCCTGGTCAAAGTCTTGAGCCCCCTCCTCCCCGGACTCTGATTCTGTCTCCTCAGACTTTGAGCAGCCATTCATCAACAAAGCCAACACACTCCTGGTCAACAGGAAGGACTCCATGTGGGTGCCCTGCCTGGTGTCCGTCCCTGGCCTCAACATCACACTGCACTCGGTACAGTCCCTCTCCCTAACCCAGTCCTCCTGTTTGGACCCTGGGAAACGGTAGCCTCTGGCCTGGCCGGGTGCACAGGGCAGCCGGTGCTGACAGTCACCTGTTGCTCCAGCAAAGCTCAGTGCTGCGGCCTGATGGGCACGAGGTGGTGTGGGACGACCGCCGGGGCATGCAGGTGCCCACATCTCTCCTGCGCGATGCGCTGTACCTGCAGTGTGAGACCAGCTGGGGTGGCCGGGACTTTTATTCCAGCCCCTTTCTCGTGCACATCACAGGTAGGGGCCATCCTGGGTTCCCTGGAAGAGAAGGTGGTACGCCCCATTCCCAGTAACAGGGCTTTCAGGGTCAACCTGTGCTCTGGGATCTATGTGTGACAGGTGTCCCTGTGCATGTGTTATGTGAGGGGTATGGGAATCACTGTGTGTATGTCACCAGGCAATGAGCTCTATGACATCCAACTGTTCCCTAAGAAGTCCCTGGAGCTGCTGGTTGGAGAGAAGCTGGTCCTGAACTGTACTGTGTGGGCCGAGTTCAACTCGGGTGTCACCTTCGACTGGGACTATCCGGGGAAGCAGGTGAGGCCAGTGGCCCTGCCAGAGTGCCTTCCTTCTGCCCACAGCTGTTCTGTCCCTACCCCCAAGAGTCCCCATCACTTGTTTCCAGTGCACACTGGGCCTTTGTGGAGACAATCTGGACCCAGCTAGCCCAGGAACCCACAGAACAGTCTGATGGGGAAGTTTTCCACCTCACAGAAAACAGTGTAGGCTTCCAGAGCCACCGTCAGCTGGGCAGGGCATGTGCCTTGGTGGGTTAGTACTGCCAGAACCACCTGCTGACCCTGGGCTTCCCTGGGTGTGGGCAGGCAGACCGGGGTAAATGGGTACCCGAGCGGCGCTCCCAGCAGACTCACACAGAGCTCTCCAGCATCCTGACCATCTACAACGTCAGCCAGCATGACCTGGGCCAGTATGTGTGTGAAGCCAACAACGGCATCCAGAAGTTCCGGGAGAGCACCGAGGTCATTGTGCATGGTATGAGCACCAGCATGTCCTGGGCGGTTCCTCAAGAACAAGGGTCCCTGTGCAGTGCGGGTCAGCAGCCACGGTGCACCTGCCCAGTAGGAAGTCCAGCCAGAGGGAGGGAAGCAAGAGAGGAAGCCCTGCCCAGCTCATCATGCTAGGGCACAGCATGCTAGGGCCAGGCTGCAGGTGGCCACAGCCAGAGATCCCAGGTCAGTGATTGACCACCACCAGATTCACACTGATGCCTCCTGTCTAACAGAAAAGCCTTTCATCAGTGTCGACTGGCTCAAAGGACCAGTCCTGGAAGCCACAGCCGGAGATGAGCTGGTGAAATTGCCCGTGAAGCTGGCAGCCTACCCCCCACCAGAATTCCAATGGTAACACTGTGGGCCCCTCCCCATGCTACCCTGATAAGCCCAGCAGAGAATGGACCAAGGGGAAAAAGGGCAGCGTCCTTCCCCATCAGACCTTAGTCCTGCCACCCAGACAGGGACCTCTCCAGGGAGATCCTCTAAGAGCATATGCAGAATTCAGTATTTCAACTGGAACAAGGTGGGCCTGTGAGAGGTCTCAGCACCAGCCTATAGTGCGGGGGTGTGGTGGGCGCCACCTGGGCTTTGTCTACTTGCCTGGTACACTGAGGCGCTGCCAGCTGCCCCACGTGCAGCTGCCAGCTATCCCGAGTTCCCCCAAAGTAGTGGCTTCAGCTGCTCCCTACAAATCTCAGGTGCACTCAGCACCTCCTTTGGTGCATTGTTGGCCTGTGGGCCATGCATGGGGCTCACCCATGACAGGCCCTGCTGGCCTGAGAACCCACAGTGCGGAGGAGGGGTTGGCCATGCATAACTCAGGCTCATCACTCATAACGCATTCAGTCCTGAGCCTCAGGCCTTCTGAGGGGGACTCGTGCTCTGTCCAGGCCCAGCCAGCCAGGGAAATCTGGTCCTCCCCAACCCTCCACACCAGTGCCAGGCAGATAACATGGCCTTGGTTCTGTCCTGGCCTTCTTTGTGACTCTTAACAAGTCACACCCCTCTGTGCGCCCCGACCATTGTCACAGCCAAAAGCAGGATTGCTGTGTCCCTTTATCACAGGCTTCTGCCCAAAAGCCGTTCTCCCTCAGTCCACACCACACCCAGATACCTGCCAGAGCCTAGAGCTCAGGTTCCAAGGCCTTTAAAGATCCCAGTGCGGATTGGGAGGAACCAGGCCGTGTGCTAAGGTGTCCATTTCCATACACAGCGAATCTGAAGCATATGCAGGGCTCAGGCACTGCTTCTCATGTAGGGTACACAGCTCACAGCTCAGTGGCAGGATGGACAACATCCACGTGCCTAAAAACCCGTGTGCTGATGAACAGACAGTGGGCAGGCAGTTAGGGCCAGATGCCATGGATGAGCTGCTCCAGCCCCAGTGAAGGGGACCTGCTGGCCGCCACTGTAGGAAAGAGCATCCGTGTAAGGGCTGCAGGAGGCACATGTCTACAGCGCTCAAGGGAAGACAGAGCTGCGGCTGCAAGGGAGAGGCAGGGGCTGCCCGGCATGGTGAGGAGCTGACTGCACCCCACCTTCACTCTCACGCAGTCTGTGAGAAGGAAGAGGGGCCCATTGAGGTTGGTCGATGGTCCCACCATGCCAAAGCCCAGCTAATATTGAGGAGTCAATCGAGAGACCAGCGAGGTGGGCAGGACCCTCTGGACGAGGCTTGCTGAGCAGAGAAACTTGGCCTCCTCCTTACCTGAGAGAGATCTCAGAGACTCTGCGGTGTACTGCAACAGGCCTCAGGAATGCTCCAGGGCTAGCTGCCTGACGGGGCTGTGACACTGGCAGGTGGAGCCTACAGACTCTGCTCCCCGACCCAGAGCCTCTTCTCCCACCTCATGCTCCTTCTGGCCCTTGCTGGGATCCTCCAGAAGGGACCACTTGCTCCAGCCTAGCCCATGAGCCAGGCCCCTTGGCTGCCTCTTCTTCCCCACGCCGGGAGCAGCACATGCGACCTTGCACATCTGTGTTCTGCATCTGTGGGTTCGACCAGCCATAGACAGAAAATATCTGAAAAAAATCTGTCTTTACAGCGAGCGTGCAGAGAGTTCTTGTACGTTTCCTCCACACTTTGGCCTAACAGTAACTTCCATAGCACTTGCACCCACACAGGGCACGGAGTGGGCCCTGAACTCCTCTCTTGTGCTAGGTACAAGAACAGAAAGGCAGTGATGGGACGCCACAGTCCACATGCCCTGGTGCTCAAAGAGGTGACTGAGGCCAGCGCTGGCATCTACACGCTCGCCTTGTGGAACTCCGCAGCCGGCCTGAGACAAAACATCAGCCTGGAGCTGGTGGTGAACGGTAGGGCACTACGGGCCGGGGGTGGAGGGGCTGCAGGAGGGCAGGTGTGCAGGCACAGAGTGGCAGGATGGGCTGGCTGACGAGGGTACCTGTGCCCTCAGTGCCCCCCCACGTCCACGAGAAAGAGGCTTCCTCCCCCAGCACTTATCCCCGCCACAGCCGCCAGGCCCTCACATGCACGGCCTACGGGGTGCCCCCACCTCTCCGCGTCCAGTGGCACTGGCGACCCTGGACACCCTGCAGGACGTTCGCTCAGCGCAGCCTGTAAGTGTGACTCAAGCCTCAGCCCTTCTTCTTAGCCCTGTCCACCCTGAACCCGGGCTCAGGCCCTGGCTCACAGGCTTCACTGGTGCACTCTCTGGGGCCCTGCTCAAAACTTGCTGCCACCATTGCTTCTGTTGCCTTGGTTTTCACAATCTTGTTCATAGAATCATTTCTCAGACCAATGTAATACAGCATTTTCCCTACTTTTTACTAAGGCTTCCACTTACGTCTCATCTTTTTGGGTATGACTTTTATAACTGGTGAGATGGGGGTCAGTCTACTTTTATTCTTCTGCATGTGGATATACATTTTTTTCACTACCACATATTGAAGTGACTGTTCTTTTTCCAATGAGTCTTCCCAGTGCCTTATTGACAATCAGTTATCTGTAAATACATGTATTTATTTCTTGCCTCTATTCTGTTGGGTTGGTCAATGTGTCTGCTTTTATACCATGCCATGCTGCTTTAGTTACTGTAGTTTTTTGGTATGTTTCAGAGTTACACAGTATGACGTTCCAGCTTTGTTTGGTTGTTTTTTTTGTTTTGTTTTGTTTTTGTTTTTTTTACTCAGAATTGCTCTGGGTAGCTCAGATATTTTGAGATTCTATATGAATTTTAAGACTTTCTGGTTGCTGTGAAGAACATCATCAACATTTTTATAGGGATCACATGCATCTGTAGATGGCCTTGGACAGTATGGACATTGTAACAGTATTAATTTACAGTTCACCCCTGAACTGGCCTGAGAAAAGCTCTGACCCTCTGTTAGATCAGTCTCATGCCAGCAGCTGAGGCTGGGCAAGCTGGCTGGGCTGGCCCCACCTTCCTCCCTTGAAAGTGAAACCTTCTAAACATATCAGCGCACCATCCCTCTGGGCTCCAAGGATGGCCCCTCACAGCAGGTCTGGGATGCTGTTAGAAAACTTCTGCCACGTCCCAGGACACACTGAGCACACTCAGCTCATCTGTGCAGCACACAACTCCCCCCTTAGAGCCAGATAAACAGAGTCAGAGAAGAAGGATGCATTTTCCAAGGTCCTAACAGTGAGCAACAAACCTTGCCCGGCTGCAGGCTTCACTATCCTAACCTGAGCTGAACATGAACAGGATGGGGTGGGGGGGCAAGGATACCATTTAGGGAAGAGATAACAGAGGGATAGGGGAGGAGGGCACTAGGAATGGATCTGAGGGGGATGAAGGCGTTTGGCCCCTGGCCCCACGAAGGGCCCAGCTTGCCCCTATCCCTGATCTGCTCCTGTCCTTCCTGGTCTATGGCAGCCGCCGACGGCAGCAGCGAGATGGCATGCCACAGTGCTTGGACTGGAGGGAGGTGACCATGCAGGATGCTGTGAATCCCATCGAGAGTCTGGACACTTGGACCGAGTTTGTGGAAGGAAAGAATAAGGTACAGGCAGCCAGGGAGAGGAAGGAAGTCGGCAGGCTCTGTCACACCTGTGTCTACCTGGCTGGCAGAGCCTCAGGGGCAGCAGCCGCAACCTGGGTGACCTTTCTACACATTCTGGGCTGTAGCTTGCCTGCGTGTGGATGGGGGCAGGCCGCTAGCTGCTCCCCAGACGAGGAAGCTGAGCCCATTCCTCCTAAGCAGTCCATGGGCTCTAGGGCTGGGAGAGGATGGGGCGGGGGCCAATCAGGTTTTTACAGAGCGCTGCTGAGCCACTGGACCAACCTGGGGGCCATGCTGAGCAGAGGCCAGGAGGGGGAAGGGGACTGAACAAAGGCACCCACTTCCTACAGTCACTTCCTGTTTTCCTACACACCTCCAGAGCCCCTTCCTGTTCCAGGCCTGGCCAGGAAGTGCCCGGCTTGGGGTGGGGGTGGGGGTCTTGGATGGTAGGCAGGGCCTGTGGCCCTCTCTCCTCCCCTACTTTTCAGTCCTCCTACTCCAAAGCCAGAATCCTTGTGGAAAACATAGGAACCCCCTCCTCTCAGACCTACCCTGGACGAGAGAGCTGCTCTGCACCCTGAGGCTGATGCGGGCACACAGTGACCAGCCACCACCACCCTTGGGCCACAGCCTCACCGCGGCTTGAGGGTGGCTGGCCCTTGATTTTAACCCGGTCTGGACTCACCCAGCTACCAAGCTGGCTCCTTGTCCCTGGACGTGCCCACCATCCAAGTCCACTAACAGAGTTCTCTGGTTCAGCCAAAGCTGCCCTCCGACCTTCACACAGCCCAGGCCAGAGGCCCATGCACTGACCCCTGGCCTTCTGAGGCACTGCCCCTCTCTGCCATGTGGACTTTCCCTCTTTCCCTGCTCATCACTCCCGGTCTTCGCCAGGCTCTGGTCCCTGCCAGGCCCAAATCCTTTTCCCTCTTCTGCTTCCCCCCTTTCCCAGTAGTGGGCATAGGGGACTCTTTCCAGAAGGGGAGGGTCCAGATGGGGAGAACTGAGGCAGGAAGTGGATGTTTGTGCCTGTACCCTGTACAGACGGTGAGCAAGCTGGTGATCCAGGACGCCAACGTGTCTGCCATGTACAAGTGTGTGGTCTTCAACAAGGTGGGCCGGGACGAGCGGCTCATCTACTTCTATGTGACCAGTGAGTGACCAGATCAGACCAGAGAGGGCCCCCCCCCCAGACAGCCCCAGGTGCAGGGTCAGGAGCAAGGCTTGAGTTTGCCTAGCTTCTGCTGACCATGGGGCACGCAGGAGAGATGCCCAGCACCAGGGGCCCCTGGACCCCACAGAAGGGTTCTAGTAGAGATCCTCGGCACAGGGGCTGGGTGAGGGACCCTGGGATGGCGCCCCTCGGCCCCTGCAGCTCCTCCTTGCTCCACTTTCCTGCCACCCCTTCTCAAACCCTGGAGCTTCACCATTCTCATGTGTGTCTTTCCCTGGAGAGAATTTCATGGTTTACTAAGATTTCACATGTATTGGTGACTCAGAAGGCCTAAGAAGCCTGAAACTCAGGGAGTAGATGAGGGCCCTCCAGAGATGGAACCCAAGGAACACCTGGGGTCAGGGCAGAACCCACAAGAGCCTGTGAGAGAGAGAGGAAGTGACCAGAAAAACAGAAGAGGGTGCCATGGCAAAAGCTACTGAAGAAACTGTTTGAGCAGAGAGAGTAGTAGGCTGTGGTCCGAAGGAGGCCAGTGTGGCTCCACTAGTCTGCTGCCAGCAGCTCCATGATCTGGGCGCCCTGTCCAGGAGAGACAGAGCAAGTGGACAGACAAGAGACCTAGGCTTCAGGAGCAGGGCCTCCTGGTCAGGGAGGGGGAGGCCAGGGCTGCGTGGGCTGTGGGTGGGCTGCACAGCTCACAGCCTTGGCTGATAACTGAACGAGTTCACAGGCGATGGTGAGGGGGCCGGTGGACAGACAGCAAACATCTGGGCAGTGTCACAGGGCTTCCCCACTCCCCAGCCATTCCCGACGGCTTCAGTATCGAGGTGGAGCCCTCTGAGGACCCCCTAGAGGGCCAGTCCGTGCGCCTCAGCTGCCGAGCTGACAACTACACGTACGAGCATCTACGTTGGTACCGCCTCAACCTGTCCACGCTGCACGACGCTCATGGAAACCCACTGTTGCTTGACTGCAAGAATGTCCACCTGTTCGCCACACCACTAGACGCCAGCCTGGAAGAGGCCGCGCCGGGAGCGCGTCACACCACGCTCAGCCTGAGCATCCCGCGAGTGGCCCCCGAGCATGAGGGCGACTACGTGTGCGAGGTGCAGGATCGGCGCAATCAGGAGAAGCAGTGCCACAAGAAGTACCTGTCGGTGCAGGGTGAGGCGCGCCAGGCAGCAGGAGGCCTGGAGGTTGAGCACAGAGCGCGCCCTGCCCACAGCACCTCACGGGCTGCATCCCTTACCCCACCCCGCACCTTCACACCCCACCCGCCCCATCTCGGCCCTGAAGTGTTGCTTTCTTCAATGGGGCCACTTCCTCTCCTCATCCCTGCCCCCAGCCCTGGAAGCCCCCCGGCTCATGCAGAACTTGACCGACCTCCTGGTGAACGTGAGCGACTCCCTGGAGATGCGGTGCCCCGTGGCGGGTGCACATGTGCCCAGCATCGTGTGGTACAAAGACGAAAAGCTGCTGGAGGAAGAGTCTGGTAAGGACAGCACGCCAGGCCATGGGCAGAAGACCTGCGAGGCCAGCGCTCCTCCAGTCACCTGCGCGTGTACCCCTGCCCCCACCTCGGCAGGAATCGACTTGGCAGACTCGAACCAGAAGCTCAGCATCCAGCGCGTGCGCGAGGAGGACGCTGGCCGCTACCTGTGCAGCGTGTGCAACGCCAAAGGCTGCGTGAACTCCTCCGCCAGCGTGGCTGTGGAAGGTCAGCCCCACCCCAACCTCCGCTCCTCCAGGGTGCCCTCTTGTGGTTACCTCGCGCGAGCCGCGCCACCTGGAGGGGTCGCTTCGAGGCCAGCCTCTCCCACGTGCGCGCACACACATGCACACGCACACTTTTGCCCACTCAGGCTCCGAGGATAAAGGCAGCATGGAGATCGTGATCCTCATCGGCACGGGGGTCATCGCTGTTTTCTTCTGGGTCCTCCTCCTCCTCATCTTCTGTAACATGAGGAGGGTGAGCGCGCCTGCCTCTGCTGAGCTCGCATACTGCATGTCATGCACGTCTCCCCACCCTGGCTGAAGCAAGGTCCCTATCCCGTCCGCCAAGCTCGCTGTCCTTATCCTCTGGGCTGCAGCCCGCACACACGCGGGTGTTCTCTCGGTCTGTCCTTCCCTTGGGTGAGCGTTCCAAAGCAGGAAGAGTCTTGGGCATCGTCACCTGAGCCACGGTGGCGTGGCCGCACAGTGATCCGTTCTCACCCGCCCCAGCCAACCCACGCGGACATCAAGACAGGCTACCTGTCCATCATCATGGACCCGGGGGAGGTGCCCCTGGAGGAGCAGTGCGAGTACCTGTCCTACGATGCCAGCCAGTGGGAGTTCCCGCGGGAGCGGCTGCACCTGGGTGAGGCCCGCAGCCTGTGTACTCCGTGCACCTGGGAGGCTTCTGTCTCCACCTGGCCCAGTATGCTCCAGCTGGCCTGCATCCTCGGAACCACGCCAGGGCCCCGCGTTCCCAGGCGCAGGTCACTTCCTCTGCTCCAAGCCGGGTGACCTGCGCACCTGCTGGGGAGGATGTGGGCCTTCCTGCCCTCGTTCCCGCGCTCCCGCACTCTTCCTGCTTGGCACCCGAGACTCCAGCTCTGTCCTTCAGGGTCTTCCTTCCCACCCTCGTCCCGTGCGCATCTCACCTGGAGCCAACCTCCCCCCCACAGGGAGAGTCCTTGGCCACGGGGCCTTCGGGAAGGTGGTGGAAGCTTCTGCTTTCGGCATCAGCAAGGGCAGCAGCTGTGACACCGTGGCTGTGAAAATGTTAAAAGGTGCGAGGGCGGTACTGCAGTGTAAAGAGGGAAACAGAGGCTCAGAACTAGCATCTCTCCTAAGAGTCCACAGGGAGACGGTGGGACTCAGACCCAGACTTCTGCCTGCCCCTACCTTAGTGGGACCAGCAGGATGTGGCGGGGATCCGGGAAGGGAAGCCCAGGTGGGCAGGAGGGCGAGAGGAGTCTGACAGACCCAGCCCCCCACTAGGCTTCTGTGTCCCCTCCAGAGGGGGCCACTGCCAGCGAGCACCGCGCGCTGATGTCGGAGCTGAAGATCCTCATCCACATCGGTCATCACCTCAACGTGGTCAACCTGCTAGGGGCATGTACTAAGGCCAACGGTACACGCTGGTGCCCAGGGAAGCCCGCGCGCCTCCGGGTGGGAGCAGCCCGTGGCGTGGTCCCCAGGAGTCACCTCCCGCGCTTGGTTCTGCCTGCCCCAGGCCCCCTCATGGTGATCGTGGAGTACTGCAAGTATGGCAACCTCTCCAACTTTCTGCGCATCAAGCGCGAGGCCTTCAGCCCCTACGCGGTAAGAGGCCTCTGCCGAGGTGGGCGCGGGGCGCCTCTGTGAAGGTGGCGGCCCCGCGGACCCGCTCCGTGCCTCCCTACAGGAGAAGTCGCCTGCGCAGCGGAGGCGCTTCCGCGCCTTGGTAGAGGGCACTGAGACTGATGGGAGGAGACCGGCAAGCGGCGACCGGGCCCTGCTCACCCGGCTCCTGATGGGCAAGGGAGGGGTGGGGCGGGCTCCTCCTGTCGGAGAAGGTAAGAGCCTGCTTCCTCATGACCTGTGTGGCAGGCTGCAGAGGACACCTCACGATCCGCACCCCGGGGTAACCTGACCTCGGGGAAGGGCGTGTGTCAGGAGCGGGAAGGGGGCACCTTAGCAAGGGCATCTTGGAATTTTCAGAGGTGTCAGACCTTTGACGTGGGTATCATAGGATGAATAGGCGTTTGCCTCACAGACAAGATGAGGGAACAGCCCAGGGCCATGGAAAGGGGGCAGAGGCCCGCTGGTGCCATAGAGTACTGCTGCAGGAGTCATGAGTGCCCCCATAGACAGCAGAGACCAGGGACCGGAGAGGGGCTGGGGTCAAGAGGAGGCGCCTCTTGAGTCCACACCCTCCTCTGTGCAGCCGAAGACCTGTGGCTGAGCCCACTGACCATGGAAGACCTTGTCTGCTACAGCTTCCAGGTGGCCCGGGGGATGGAGTTCCTGGCCTCCCGCAAGGTGGGTCCCAACAATTGCTGCAGGCCCTTTACAAGAGCAAGGGTACAAACGTATCCGGACACATAGGCTTGGTCACTCCACAGTGGTCCCACAATCAGTGTGGCTCACAGTTTGCAGAAGAGGAAACAGCCCAGAGTGGAGAGTGCCCTTCCTGGGGCGCCCTGACTAGTCAGTGGCAGACCAGATGTGGGGTCACTGTCACTGCCTCTCTGAATTTCCCTGCTGGGGACACAGAACTTCCACCGACAATGCAGAACTCAGACGCGCCTGGGGCAGCCTGGAGTTCAGGTGTGGGTGTTATCCAGGGCCTGAGCTGAACACTCCACACCCTTCCTTTACCCACAGTGCATCCACAGAGACCTGGCTGCTCGAAACATCCTGCTGTCCGAAAGTGATGTAGTGAAGATTTGTGACTTTGGCCTTGCTCGAGACATCTACAAAGACCCTGACTATGTCCGAAAGGGCAGTGTGAGTGTAGGCCGCCGGGAGGAAAGAGCATGGGTGCTAGGGAAATGGGGACAGTGAGGCCCCAGGAGAGGGGGTGCTGCAGGCTCCAACTCCTTGGTTTGCCAACCCACTTGCCCAGCTGGGTGGCATCTCTGCCCCCAGATCCCTCAGGGCACCCCGGAACCCTGACCACTGAGGCAGCACGAGAAGCAGAGTGAAGCCAGGAGCTTGTGCTGTGCCCAGGGCCTGTCCCTGGGGAGACACTGACTCCGTGTGCTTGCCATGTTAGGCCGGGGGTGCAGATGCGTGTATCCACCCATGGTTAAGGATCAGGCAGTGCCTGCTCAGGCATCTGTGACTGATGAGGGGTTCGCACTAGCAAGAGGGAGGAAGAGGCCTGGGGTCCACACTCTGTGTGACGGCCTCCTGCCTCCAGCCCTGGGCAAGGCTTGACTGCATTCCACCTCACAGGTATGGGACACAGCTGGAGGCAAGGGGCCCTATGTGCACTGAAAGGAAAGGAGACTAGGACCTGGGCTGGGGCTCGGCAGGGGGGGGGGGACCACCCTGCTCCTAGTGAGGGGACACAGGGAGTGGGGAAGGTGGCAAAGATGTGCTAGGTCACCTTACCTCAAGGGTGGGCCTGGGCCGTGGCTCTGGAGTGAGAGGAAGAGATGCAAGAGCTCAGGGGATCTAAGGGAACTGGGCAAACAGAAGGGCTGCAGGGAAGAAACCGTCAATCCACAGTGGGGCCAGGGCCCAGCCTCTTCTTCCCTGCCCCGCCAGGCCCGGCTCCCCCTGAAGTGGATGGCCCCTGAGAGCATCTTTGACAAGGTGTACACCACACAGAGTGATGTCTGGTCCTTCGGAGTACTGCTCTGGGAGATCTTCTCACTGGGTGAGTGTGACGAGGGTCGCTGCTCCAGCATGTTTTGTCAGCCCTTCCATGGCCAGAATGGGGCACCTGGAACAAGCAGCCCGGGTTCATCGTGGGCCACTGCAGTACCACCTCAATCCTGGGCCAGAACAGGGCCTGGATCTTTGCAGCAGCCCCAGCTCTCCATGGGGCCATTCAGTAAAACCACCTGCTTATGCAGGAGGCACATGGAAATATGACAGCCAGGATGGAGGGAGGCAGCAAAATTCTACTAAATGACAATGATAATGACAGTGATAATGCAGAAGTGCTGAAACAGTTTTCTCTCATTGCTGAGACAAGACACTTAATGCCCAAAATGAAAAAAGGAAAGGTTTATTTAGCTTACAGTCTTTGGAGGTTTCAGTTCCTACTCAGCTGGCTCCAGTGCAGCGTGGTGTGGCTGAGGGGCAGCCACAAGCAACAGGAGTGAAAAGGATGAAAAGAGGGGAAAGCCAGCTACCCGCCTCTGCACGAGTGCCGCACTCACACGGCCAGTCCCAGTGCTCGACAATGGGCCAATCACAAACGCGAGGTTTAGCCGCCTCCGTGCCTGCATGAGGCTTGGAGGGACACACGGACACAAACCTAACAAGAGGCTGGGGACTTGGAGGCTATCTGTGCAGCAGAGGGCTGGCAGTGCCACTGAGCGGGAGGGGGTGCTTAGCACACACTGGGCCCTGGGACACACTGGATCCTCAGCATTCAGAAAAAAGGAAAGGAGGCGTGCAGAGAGGCAGGTGAGCCTGGGAAGACTGCAGTCCAGGTGAGGAAAACACGCAGGGAGCAGCCAGCATTCCTGCAGTGAGAGGAAGGAGAGGCTTTGTTTAAAAGGCTTAGTTCTGTGCAGTCCTGCCATCCCCAAGGATCCCAGGAACTGACTTCACTGAAGGAGGGAGAGGGGACACCTTGCTTGGGCCCCAGGGAGCAGCAAGGTGAACTGTGTCTTTACCCTGCCACGGAGAAAAAAGGAAGGGAGGAGGGGACAGAACCGGTGTAATCAGGAGGCCATTTCACCCCTGGCTGCCCCTTCTTGCTGGCAGGGGCCTCCCCATACCCAGGGGTGCAGATCAATGAGGAGTTCTGTCAGCGGCTGAAAGATGGCACCAGAATGAGAGCCCCAGAACTGGCCACTCCCGCCATGTGAGTCTCCTGCAGATATGCAGGTGCTGGGGGCACCAGGACAGGTACACAGAGAATGTTGTGTGGCCACAAGAAGCATTCAAGCATGGGGGAAGAGGGGCAGGAGGGGGTGGGCTCACCCTGTTCTGTGCTGACCCCAGATGACCTGGCCCTGCCTCTGGACTCACAGTAGCAGTTACCACACCCTAACTTGGAAAGGGAGGCACGTGCCCTGAAAACACCTGACAAGAGCCCAAGTCACCAGGGACAATATCCCCCAAATGGGCACATAGGCAACACTTGCAGAAAGAGCAAGGCGGGTGATCTGAGAACTGCTCTCGATGAGTGGGAGAGCCCACACCAAGCCTGGAGCGGGAGAGCAGAGCGTGCAGGATGAGCTTGGTCTGTTTGGTTTCCCTTTTTTAAAAAATACCTTATGGGGGCTGGGGATTTAGCTCAGCGGCATAAGCACCTGCCTTGCAAGCAGGCAGTCGTGAGTTCGATCCCCAGTACCGATAAAAAGGAAAAAGACAAAAAAAAAAAAACATACCTTATGGCTGGAGATGTAGTCAGTGGCACGGTGCCTGCCTTGCTAGTGTGATGTCCTGAGTTCAGTTTCTGGTACAAAAAAAATTTTAAAACAACTGAACCTGAGCCCTTGTATAGAGAAGAGGTTTACTCAGCACAGTTTTAAGAGTCCAAAAGCATGGCACCAGCATCTGCTGGCTCTGGGGAAGGCCTCCAGCAACATCACAGTCTGGCAGATGACACCACAGTGGGGCACAGGAGGGAGCAAGCAATCACACAGCAAGACGGAAGGTGAGGGACCAGCTCTGTAACAGCCTGCTCTTGGCAGGACTCACGCCCTTCACTCGGGACTCTATTCCCTAGGCTGGGCTCCACCACACTGGGACGGAGCCTCTAGCACAGGAGCTTTGGCGGATCACACTCAGGCTGCATCTGAACCACTTCAGGGAGCTGGGGAGCAGGACAGCTGGGCCAACTGGTGGGAGGGCTGGGGTGTGCTCAGCATGGGCCACAGCCAGCTTCTCCCGCAGACGCCGCATCATGCAGAACTGTTGGTCTGGAGATCCCAAAGCGAGGCCTGCTTTCTCAGAGCTGGTAGAGATCCTGGGCGACCTGCTTCAGGGAGGAGGCAGACAGGTGAGCCCTGGCTCTGCCCTACCCTGGGGCCTGCCTTGACTATGTTGAGCCCCACTCACCTCTCAGCTATCAGGCAAAAGCACGTGTGATGGACCTGGGCCCTTGTCCTGCTTCCCTCTGCACCCGGCTGCTGCAGCATCTTCTGCTGGTACCACAGTGACAGTTGCCCAGTGGGCATCATCAGTCCACAGGACACCCATCCTGGTGCTCTGGGGTCTGCAGAGCAGCCTGTCTCCCTGGCATAGCAATGGATTTCTCCACCCCCTTCCACCCACTGGGTACACAGCCCCAGACCTGTGTATCCTGTACCTCCCTCCCCAGTGGTGCTCAGGGAGGGTGCCATGTGCTCTGGGATTGACAGAGCACCCCAGAGGCATCCTACACCTGGGCCTTGCCTCACAGCCAAACCTCAGGGACCAGGGATGAGAGCTTGGTATCAGTTCTACCCAAGGAAAAGGTGACATCTTCTAACTGGTCCCAGAGCTGCAAAGGGCATCCAGAGGACGCAAGAGAAGATGCTACACAGGCCTGGCCCACCCTCCTGCCTCATCTGCAGTTGGGGACCAGGGAGGGCTGTTAGGGGAGTTGAACAAGGCTGACAACCAAGCGGTCAGTACCCTCAACCTAGGCCCATCCCAAGCACTGGCTCACACAGCCCCACCTGGTCCCATCTGAGAGGGCAGGACTCGAGCAGTTCTGTATGCAGGTGTAGGGGCTGCAGATCGGGATGCTGTGTGATCCTGGCCCCAGCCACTTCTCCAATTCCTGCCAGGAGGAAGACGAGGACTGTATGGCCCTGTGCGACTCCCAGAGCTCAGAGGACAGCAACTTCTTGCAAACATCCACCACAGCCCTGCATGTCACCGAGCTGGACAGTAGGGGCAGCCAACCAAGCATGCATCGCCACAGCCTGGCTGCCAGGTAGCCCCTCCTGAGCTAGGAACAGGACATAGGGCAGGTATTGGTTTGGAGGCAGCTCTTTTATCCTCCTGAGTCGTCAAGGAAAAGCAACTGACAGCAGCTTGAGAGGCAACTGGATGCCAGAATGATTCAGATGGGAGCACTGGGCACAATGCTCCTGTGGGCCCAGCCCACTGTGGGGCTCCCCTACGCCCATGGCCTCACAGTCGTGCTTTGCTTATGGCCTCCTCATTGCTCCACGCTGAGTACCAAATGCCAGAGGCTGGCATTTCAGAAAGACAGGGGAGCCGGGCGTGGTAGCACACTCCTGTAATCCCAGCACTCGGGATGCTGAGGTAGGAGGATCATTGCGAGTTCGAGACCAGCCTGGGCTACAAAGTAAAAAGCCCAAGGCCAGCCTGAACCACATAGCGACCCTGTCTCAAAAAGATAAAAACATAAATAAAAATTTTTTGGAAAGAAAGGAAGGAACCAACCTAGTTCACAGTCCTGAGGCCCTGAGATCACTCTAGCTCTGAGCAGAGTCTCGTGGCAGCTGGCGTTATGATAGCAGGATCCCATGCCTATGTGGGTCAGCAAATCAGAGGTTCATGGCCTGGGATAGTTCATTGTGTAGCCCATGCCCTTGGGAAGACACCGAGTCCTAAAAGAGCTACATTAATCCCCTCTTGGCAGTGAGCCCCATGACTTAGTTATCATGAATGAGGCCTCAACCCTTAAAGGTTCCAACCTCAGCTCACCACCCTGAAGGCAAACCTGCACAAAACCTTAGGGACATAGGCCCCTCCAGTCTTTATACTATTGGCACTCCAGAACTGCCCACTTCACTTTGAAAAGAATGCCCATCTTGGGTGCCGTCAGGGTAATAGTGTGAGTGGCCAGGTTTGAGCCAAGACTCCTCCCAGCATCTGATGATTTAGCTCTTGAGCAAATCCCAGGAGCCATTGTCAGGGACCCTGGGAGCAGAAGAAGACACTCAGTAACCACCCACCTTAGGGAATGAGAACCTAGCCCAAGTTCCCCAGTTCTGGTTTGGTATCTCCTATCTTGGGCAGTTCATATCCCTGGGAGATTTTGCTAGCTACACTCCTACCTGCTAGCTGGTAGAAATGGACACTGAGTCCTGCCGCTCTGCCCCAGGAACAGTGGACAAGCATAGGAGTTGGTTCCTGCCAGGCTCTCTGCCAACCCCCGTGCACATGTGCATGCAGGCTCGTAGCCACACACACCTGGGGGTGCACATGCAGGCTCATCAGCTAAGGCCCAACCCAGGGAGAAGCCTGCACCACCACCACCAGCTCTGTGCCCCATCCACTCCCACTGGAGCCCCCTGTGTGCACTGAAAGGTTCTGTTCTTCCTGTACAGGGCTGGATACAGCTCAGGAGGAGGGACTTGCTGGAACCCTTCTGTGGGGATTGTGTGATGGCCATCTGAGCCCCTTTTCCCTACCCCTGCAGCAGGGCCGTCATGGAGGAGACAGCAGATGGTGGGGGAGCCTCCAGAGGTACTGGGGTGTGCTTCTCCAAGCACCCACTGTTTCTCCCCACAGATACTACAATTGTGTGTCCTTTCCTGGATCCCTGGCCAGGGAGGCTCAGACCCGGAGTCCCTCTAGGATGAAGACATTTGAAGAATTCCCCATGACCCTGACAACCTGCAAAGCCCCTGTGGTAAGGAAGGGGTGAAGAGGGCTACACTTCTCAGATCAGGGCCAGGGGTGGAGGAGGCAAGCATCAGGTCCTGAGGCAGGTGACAATTCAACTAAGCCTTTCTAAATATTTATTTTATCTTTGATTAATGTGTATACATTGTGTGTATTAGTAGAGTTTGGTGTGATGTTTCAACACACGCATGAGTGTGCCCTGATGGGATCCACCTTCCTTCACTCACCTCCGACTCTCCCAAGCTCTAGCAATCACTGCTCTGCTTTCAGGGCAACATGCCTGAGCTGCCACCTGTAAGAGAAATTGTGTTATGTTTGCCTGTCTGTATCTTGGTCATTTCATTTCCGCTTCGTCCATGCTGCTACAAATAAAGAGATTTCCTTCTCTACCTCTGAATAATACTCCACTGTGTGTGCATTCCATGCTTGCTTCATCTAGTCACCCATTCACATGTCTTATCATGAACAATGCAGTCTCAAAATAAAGACAAAATGGTCTGGGTATGTCACTGAGGAGTGAAGGGTCTGGGTTCAATTCCTAGCACTGGAAAAAGAAAGAAAGGAGAAAGAATGAAGTGGGGAGGGAAAGGAGGAGAAAGACAGGAATTGGTTGATCCTGATTGCACCTGCATCTCTTTGGTGAGGTCTGGAAAGTGGTGAGGCCAGGGGTCACCTCCAGGCACTTAGGGTCTCAGTGCTCAGGCAGTGCCCCTGGTGCCCTGCTCTTGCTCTGTCCGGTCAGTGTTGCTCAGGGCCTCCCAACTCCAAGCCCTCTCCCCAGCATCATGGAAACCCCAATGAAAAGGCTGCCACCACCCCAGGTAGCATCAGCATCAGGCACCGGAAGAGGAGGGTGGGCCGTGGGGAGCAGGAGGGCTGCAGATGCCCACCCACGTGGTGACACCTGTGTCCTAAGCGCAGGTCGGCCATGCTGAGGCTCAGCTTGGTGAGGCTGGACAGGTGTGCCATTTGCTGAGGAAGAGACCAAGCCTCTAGACCTGAGCTCCAGAGGCTTTGAGAGGGAGTCATGTTGAGCACTGGTCAGGTCTCCAGAAAGCACTGACCCACGGAGTGGGGCAGGCACTCAGCACAGACCCTGGTCTGTGCCTCACAGGTCAGACGCAGCTGCTGGGATCTCAAGCTCTGAGAAGATCAAAGTTCCCCTCTGTGGAGTTCAGAATGAAAACCACCCAAGCCATACTTGAAGGGGAACAAGGCCCTACTCAAACCTGTGTCTCTCTAGGGTGATCATTTAAAAAAAAAAACAAAAGCAAAAAAACTGTGAGCTGCCAGTCTTCTGCCTGCTCCATAATTTCTGTTGCTCCTGCTCTACCTGCACCCTTAGCACACATGGGTCACTGACACGACACTGCTCCCCCAGACCTCAGCTTCCTGCTGTGCAGTGGGGACTGTGACTCCTACCTGCATGCTCTGGGGATGCAGCAGGTGTCCCTGGCCGGCTAGGTCCCCATGGGGGTGGGATGAGGTTCCCAGCAGCCACAGCCCTGGTTGGTTCCCTCGTGCAGGATAATCAGACGGACAGCGGGATGGTGCTGGCCTCTGAGGAGTTTGCAGAGATAGAGAGCAGACACAGACAAGAAGGCGGCTTCAGGTAAGCGCTGCCACGCCTCCTTCCCGCAGGGCCTGGCTGCACCCACCACTCTTCCTGTGGCTGTCAGTCACCCAAGCTGAGACTGAGGCCTCTGGCACCCACCTCTCCCCGACACCCCACCCTGACCCTGCGGCTCCTGCCGCTCCCTGCAGACTTGACTGATGCGCATCCTTAGCCCCATGCATGGAAGGCAGGAGATAATATAACCTGAGCTAGCTGCCATCATATTTTGTTAAAGACAAATTCCTTGGGGCTGGGGATTTAGCTCAGTGGCATAAGTGCCTGCCTTGCAAGTACGGGGTCATGAGTTGGATCCCCAGTACCGATTTTAAAAAAAGACAGATTCCACCTGTGAGCCAGGCTCAAGGGGCATCTGGGTAGAAGGTGTTTCCCTTTGCTTGTCAAGGTAGCCTCCCAGAAGAAAAACTGGCCATATTTAAACTTTACCAAGTACACATAAAAGACTTAACTGTCTGTTTAAAGCAGTCCTTTTATTTATTTATCTTATTCTATTTATTTATTTTGAGGTGTTGAGAGTGGAACCCAGGACCTTCACATGGAGCTGCATCCCCAGCCCTTTACCCTTCTTATTTCGAGACAAGGTCTCACCAAATGGTTATGTATCCCTGCTTGGGTTTGAACTTGATTTCTCAGCCCCTGCTTCCCAGAGGCTGGGTTAACAGGCAGACCACACCAAGCCTCCCTAACATGTTTGCCTAGTTAGTTTGCTAACCTACGCCTATGCAAACAACAGGCTCTGATAGCTCATGAGGCCCTGGTCCCTCCACCTTCTGTAGACCACTGTGTCCAGGCCAGGCCCACACCTCAAACATCAGTGTCCCTTCCTGTCAAGAGCTTCTTTTGAGGCCAAATCTTTTGCTTCTCCTGGTGCTATTTTTTACTCAATAGTTGATGTTGTCACTGACTGCTTTGCTATAAACCACAAGTATTTATTTGTATAACATCAGGATAATAATGTCATATTTCACCTTACTTGTAGGATATATTTTGAGCTGTGCAGCTTACTAAGTACAGGTGGAGTATGTCTTATCTAAAATTCTTAGGACCAGAAGTGTTTCAGTTTCAAAGTTTTTTTTAAATATTTGCATATGCTATACCAGTTGAGCAACTCTAATCTGAAAATTCTGAATCTTTTTCTCAGAAACTTCAGATTTCAGAGACTTTTGGATCCCCTAAGAAGGGCCCTACATGTGTATTTTAATTCTCATTTAATTAATTATTGAGATGAGATACTTTCCCAGGCCTTTGCTTTTAAAATACGGAACTTAGGAGGAGTGGAGGGGGGTGCTTTCCTGTAATCCCAGCCCTCAGGAGGCTGAAGCAGGAAGATCAACACAAGTTTCTGGACTACATAGCGAGCTCAGGACCAACCTGAACTACACAGCAAGACGCTGTGTCAACAAACAAAAAAATACTAAACTTTGAATTTTCAGATTCAAGATGCTCAACTTTTACTGATATTTTGCGTTCCTGGGGGTTGAACCCTGGGCTGCCTCACACATGGTAGGTGGTACTGCACCAGCCAGCCAGGTGCCCAGCGCCTAGAGATCACTGTTACACCGTCCATGGGGGAATGCGTCTGCAGGGCTGGCACACAGAGGCGAGTTGCAGGTCACCCAGGGAGCAATGTTTGCGTCTGTATTATGCATCTTTTCCCTCTTTTTCTTTTTTTAAATGGATGCAACCATCAGAAGACTTCTATTAGTGACCTGGTTTTGGAAAGTTAATGCTAGTTACATTTTCACAAATAGTTGCGGCCTATGTTTATTTATCAGTGTCCTATCATTCACACAAAAACAATTCAGTGACAGAGTAAGGCTAAGGTGTAGCTCAGCGGTACAGCACTTGCCTAGTCGCATGTGAGGTCCTGGCACCCCAGCACTGGAACCTCAACACCAAAAAGTACCAAGGAGAACAGAGGATGCCAACTGTTGAAACTGAAACCTCTACACATTTTCCTAAAACAATGCAGCTGCTCAGAGAGATCACTGACAAAAGGACACGCACACATACATGTTAGTGTGTGTGTGTGTACATGCGTGTGACTCAGCTTTGCAACTAGCAGGTCTAACCTGACCTCCAGCAGAAGGAAACCAGATGAGGACTGTCTCTTCAGAGGAATGCTAGACATCACTCTTGGGACAGTGCCCTGGGAAAGGGAAGCAGAGCTCCTGGTACAAGTGTGAGACCCCATGGGTGTGGGTGCTGTCACAGATCAGGAGCAGGAAGCAAGTGCTGGGCTGGCATGATGAGAGAAGAAGGCTTCAGAAGACCACACTGTCCTGCAGAACAAGTTAGCATCCAGAGCTCAGAAGACAGACAGACAGACACACACACACACACACACACACACACACACACACACACGTGCATGGGACTTATTCAATACAGAAACTGCCTCAGCAACAACAGCTACAGAAGGTCTGTCTGGGTTCCCTGGGAAACTCTTCACACTAAATCATGGAAAGAGACAGCAGATCACCTGGCTGGGACAACTGTGGCATGAGGAAAGTTCTCCAAGCAGGTGCCAGGGCACAGTGTGCCTGTGAGGAAGGCCGCTCTGGAGGAAGAAGGCCGTTTACCTTCCCGGGCCTTTCCTGTTCCCTGGCCCTGTGGGTGCCAATTCTTCCTCACTTCCAGGTTATCCTTCCCCTTCCCAGGAACCATTCCAGACCCTGGCTCCCATGCCCTGCAGCATGCTGTTACATCCAAGGCTCTAGGCAAAAGGGAATCTGGAGGACCTCGGCTTATCATTGCTCACATGGCTGCCCGGCAACAGCCAATGAGAAGCTCAGCATTCCTTGTGGTTGTGATACTGGACAGGAATGGATACGCTGTACAAAAAAAGGGCATGAGCTGGGGTAGCTCAGTGGCAGAGCGCTGGCCTAGCAAGTGTGGGCTCTGGATTCCACTGTCAGAACCACAGACTAGAACAAGGACGTAGTGAAGGGCATTTGAAGGGATACCAAATATGTGGCCCCAACACACAAAGCATAGACATAAAGAATCAAGAAAATAAAATTGAAATAAAGAGGTAAAAAAGTAATAGACATAGATGAATAGAAGACTACAATGGTGTAAAATTAGAGACCCTGAAAAGTAAAGCACAAACTAATATGTCAAACTTGTAGCTCAAGTAAGACTCTTAAATAAATAAAAGAAGACCTAAAATAAAAGGACACTCGGGAAAACTGACCCAAATCAGTCAACTCGGTGACATACTCCAGTAGCGCTATTTGGCTTCAAAGGTAAACATTCTGGGAACTAAAACAGAAAGACCAAGTTATTCGCAAATGAAAAAAAGAGCAAGACAGAAGGATTAGTATTTAGATTTTCTTCACCAAGGCATAGTGGCAACTCCTGTGATCCCAGCATTGGAGGCAGAGGCAGTAAGATTTCTGTGAGTTCAAGGCCAGCCTGCACTACATAGAGAGACCATCTCAAAAACAATTTTTTAAATAATATTATTCAAAGCAAAATAGCAACAAATGGGCTAAAAAAAAAAAATCAAAGAGAGCTGAGTGTCCAGGCATATAGCTCAGTGGCACAACGCCTGCCTCGCAAGCTCCAAGTCCTGAGTTCAATTCCTGGTACAAGAAAAGAGAGCTGTGTGACTCGCACACACCTATAATCCCAGTACTCAAGAGACTGAGACAGGAGGATCACTATAAATTTGAGGTCACCCTGGGCTACACAGTGAGACTCCATCTCAACAAAAATAAATCTTAATGAAAGCTGAAAATGAGATCAGATAGGAGGGCGTGGTTGGAACCTGAAGCTTGGGTTTTATTGCCAAAGCAATACGTGGCCATTGGAGGAGCCCTCAGGTCACAGTCCACTTAAAGCGCAGCTGTGAATGGGAGTGCAGGGAGGCGGAGCAGCGGTAGACCCGCGGCTGGCAGAGGGGTGTAGCAGTGGGAGTAGAATGCAAGGACCACACACAGCCAGGCCACACACAGCTGGTCTGGAAGGGCAGTGAGCAGGTGACGTGGGAAGAGGAAGGCTCCAAAAAAGAGCCCTGTGGAACCCAGAGGTCCCCGGTGCAGAACACAGACGCACACGTGCACAAGGGACTTGGACAGTGGAGACCCTACCCCTTCCCACCCGGTGGTGCGTGGTTCCCTTGGACTCCGCGCGATTGGGGTGCACAGGTGCACCAACTCCTAAAGAAGCAAGTGAGGTGAGGCTGATGTCTCTGTGGCACTGTGTCCAGAATTGGGGTCCCGGAAGTGTGAGTGAGTGTCCACAGTCTAAGTCAAGGCTGAGCAACAAGGCCTGTGAACAAGCCGGCGCCGGTGCTTCCAATCAGGCCCCGCGGTGCATGCTCCTGCCTTTCTAATGCCAGCCTCTCTGTCTCACAGCTGTAAAGCACAAGGCCAGGAGGTGGACGTGACTGCGGTGCACCCTGACCCCGGGGGGAGACGAAGTCGGCAGGACCAGGGAGTGCAAGGAGGCCAGGTGTTCCTCAATAGCGAGTATGGGGCGCTGCAGGGGCCTCTGGCAGAGGGCTGCCGAACCGCTGCAACCAGCACACCCTTGTCTTCTGACAGCAGCTACTGAGCATCGCGCGACGCGGGCCCGTTGACCCTGGGCTCTGACGGCGGTGGCAGGGACATCCCCAGCAGGCGAGGAGAGAGTTGGAGGCCTGGGCTGGACCATCGTGTCCTTCAGCTCTGACCCTGAGGAGCCTCCTCCGTCCCCTCCAGGATCTGGAATCCTGTCCCCTTCCCTGTCGTGAGCCCCGCCCTCCAGGTGCTCCCAGCCCCTTCTCAGATCCAGAGCCACGTACCCAGGTGACCTTGTCCATGGGTGCTGGCCCTGAACAGGCCTCTCCTAGGGCACTGGCTCATAGTCGCTCCCTTCACCATGGACAGTGGGTGACACAGGCCCCCTGTCCTGGACACATGTCTGGACTCATGTGGGCTGGAGGTAGAGCTCCTTCTGAGCACATCTCCCAGCCCCTGCCCCAAAGCTGTGCACCAAATCTGCCTCCCCTTCCTCTGGGAAAAAGCATGCTTTACCCCTCCCAGAAGCTGCAGAGAGCCGTGTCTGTGTTTTCTGTCACAGCAGCAAAGGAGGAATTGGGAGTAGGTTGCTCTCCTGAGCCCACCAACGGCTTCCTGACTGCTGGGGTGACCCAGTTCCAGAAAGGGAGGCAGAAGCAGCCTGAGTGTGCAGAATTGTCCCACAGACACTTCCTTCCACTAGAACTTCAGGACTCTCAGCTTCTGTGATGAGTTCAATTTTCAAAACTTCAGCTGGAAGTGGACCCACTTTTTTTTTTTAACTGAAATTAGGCAGTTTTTGGCTAAGACACTGCAGTCCACATAGCTTGTCTTTCTTAGAAGATCCCCAACCGTACATGCCCAGTCCAGAATCAAGAACCAACCTGTGGCCCAGAGCAGCCCCTTCTGGCTTTCTTCCTGGGACCTGATTTTCCGTCCCAGTGCCTCCAAGACTTGAGCACTGTGGGTTCCACCCAGGAAGGCATCAGGGCTGGCACAGAGACAGTGTGGCCCAGTGCTCACGGCAGTGAAGATACACCTGGGACCTATCTTTGGGAGGACCCTCCCCTTCCTTTTGCCTTCCCTCTGTGCCCACACTGGCACTTTTGTTCCCATGGAGGAGCAACCAAGCCCCCCAGGAGTGAGATCATTCTGCCCAGACCCTGTCCCAGTTTACATGATTCCCCTCCCTGCCAAGAGAAAGCCCCTCCTCTGGTCAGCAACGCAGAACGCAGCCCCACCCCCCTTGCCCAAGACGCTTGCAGGACAGGCAGCTGCAGCAAGTGAGGTCTCCGCTGCAGACTCCCCCGCAGGGCACACTGCCACTCCGCGAGACCATGGTGCAGGTGTGACTGGTCCTCGCTGACCCCGGGCTGCCTTCTGCGTGGCACCTGGCCTTGACTCACCCGGGGAAAGTTGAAAGGATGCTGTGTCTCTGTGGACTGAAACCAGCAACGCGGGGCACAGCCCCCCACCCCGTGTGCACCTCTTCCTCGGCCGGCCACCTCTCCCCTGTCATGTAACTGCACACCCTGCGATGGGCTGGAGAAGAAAACCCACTGCACCCTTGTAGACATGTTCTCCGAAAGATCTAAAATATTTAACAAAAGATAATAATAAAGCAGATGCCAGTCTCTGAGTCACCACGAGTGGATTCTGAGTAAAGTCTCAGCAATGTCACGCTGTCGCCGTGGGCTGCCCCAGCCCAGAGAGCCCAGGACAGGCGCCGCCACGCGAGGAGGCGCGGTCCCCGAGGCGGCCGGCAGAGGGCGCGCGCCGGCCGGCTTCCCGACAGCGCGGTTCCTGGCAGCGCAGAGCCGCGAGGGGAGGCTGGACTCCGGCGGCGCTGAGACCCCGGCCTGCGCCCCGGCGCCCCTCAGGCGGAGCCTGTCTCCCAGTCAGGTGCCGCGGCGGGCAGGAGGCTGTGTAGCTCCCCTTCTTAGCTGGCTTTGCTTGTTACCGAGCTGATTCTCAGTACCGAAAAGACCCGCGCCACGCATCCGTGTGTGCCGGGACGTTTCATCCTGCACTGGACCCGAGTGAATTCAACCGCTCCTGGGATCCCATGCTGTGTGCTCCCCACCCCTGGCATGCCCGGGCCTGCACACGTCGCCAAGCCCTGTGGAAGATTTCCAGGGGTGCGCTCACATCCTCCTCCCCTTCTGTGCTATCTGCTGCCTCAGGTGCCACTGCACCCCTTCCAATACCCTCAACCCCAGCCCAAGGCCCACTGCCTCACAAAGTCACCTTCTTTTGGCATCAGCAGTGCCCTCGAGCATCCTTCCATCTGGAGGTCACTGCGGCCTGGGCTCAACATCCAGAGCTGTTCTGGAGAAGGGGTCTGCAGCTGTGAGGCTGGGCTTCTGGGTGACCCCTGGCCTGCAGAGGAGAAGCAGAAGAATGAAGGTAGAGGCCTGAGGTGGGGAAGAGGGGCCAGGGGGCCACTCCACAGGCCTGGGAGCACCAGACGGGAGTGTTTCTTGTTTTAAGGAAAACAGGGGTTCTGAGAAAGGTTAGTGGACTCAGGGAGACATTCATGCTGCAAGAAGAAGGGATCTCAAAGAGGCTGGGGGAGGATGGGCCACCAGGCAGCATCTGAGGCCTACAGCGACACTGGGCCAGCAACGCCCCTTACAGCCTGTCTCTCTTCTGTGGCTTCCACTTTGAAAAGCTTTGGTGGTGAGTCACAATGCCCCTGGCATGACCACACTATGAAGCAGCCTTCCCCCTCCCCACCTACTCATGCCCACTGCGCTGTCTGACCCCCGTGCCCCTCTACACATGCACCCACCCCCAACTGCCACCTGCACCCTAAAGGCAAGGTGACCTATCAGCAGGTAGGGTCTTTGGGGTAAGGAAGTCACAAGAGGTTGGTTTCCTGATAAGAACCCTGAGGGGTCCTCTGTCCTCATTCTACCCTACAGGGACACAGGGAGAAGTCACATGTCCAGGAACAGGAGGTGGACACTCTCCAGACACTGGGTCTGCTGGGGCCTTCATCCTGGGCTTCCCAGTCTCCAGACCATGGGAAATGAACATGGGTGACTGCAGCCAGGGCGCTAAGCCACCCCCGCCACATCTCCCACCATGGCAGAATGAATGGGCACTTTGGGATGGCAGCGAGGGCATCTCTGATGGGGAGAGACCGGTCTACAGTCTGGGCTGGGATGTGCCCAGGGGTTTGAGCCACCACCCTACACTCTCAGCTGGCAGACAGCGGCTCCCAGTCCTGGTGTACGGAAGCAGCACAGGCACTGCTAGTTCCAGCCCCACAGGGGAGCCAGACTTGGGAGGACCTCGGGACCTCAGGCGGGTCACTGACAGTCTGGCTTTTCTTGTGAGTGAACGCGGAGGGCCCTGCCCACTCCCAGTGCCATTCCTTTCACTCCTTTGCCTATGCTTCCTTAGTCCTAGGCTTGGTGGGCCTCCACCTCGGCCCAGGCAGACATAGGAGAACGATCAAATCACATACCATGATTACTTGGCTGCTGCCTCTGTGATCAGCACAGCCTGTAAAGCACTGGAAACCCACTAAGACCTCAAGAAGGACCACGGGGAAGCAGCAGGTCTTGTTTCCCTGAACATAAATCAAGTGTTTAAATTTGGTATTGCTGGCTGCTGGCTTATCACCCCCTATAAGGACAATCACCTAACGCATGGGATCGGAGAACAACTGACACCATTTGAGGCTGAATCAAGCTTTGCCTGAAGGCAAACCGTTTTTAGAACTTCAATGGTTGCCAACCCAGGTGGGCCAGCTTTCGGTCACTTTCACCAATGCATTGAGCTCACACCACAGGAACCATGGTGATGACCTCTTCTTGCTCTTTCTACTACAGGGCCTGCAGGGAGGAGGGCCTTGGTCAAGGAAAGGACAAGAGGAAGTGCTTGAGAGAGCCAGATCAATATTGACCAAGGTGCAGGTATCTTGGGAACAGGATGCCACAGAGACACTGCCCAGAGCCCAGAAGGCCCAAGTTATGCGGAAGGCTGAGGTGATGAGCTGGCAGAGTGGTGGCCCTGAGCAGAGGCTGAGTGCTGGCATGAACAGTGTCTTGGGAGCATGACAGCCCTCACCATCCCCGTCTGTTGCTCCTCGAGCCACCTGTGCCTGATGGGGCCCTCGCACTTGGTTCCATGTGTCCTCGTGGTAACAGCACAGGGTGGGAGAGAAGGGACACCTCTTGGCTGGTGCCACTGCATATTGGGATGTCCTAGGAAGCACTGGCCTAGCCACACCACCCAGGGCTCTTCAGGACTGGGCCATGTACAGAAGGCTTTGTAGGGAGGGCCCAGGATCTTGGTCAGGAGCAAGGTGCTGGCTGAGCCTCCCGTGGTGGCCACTGTCCTTTGCCCCGGTGGTCAGGGAGCTCAAAGGCACCAAGGGCCTGTTTCTAAGCTGTGCGTGCACTGGCTCAAGGGGGGATGGCGCAGTTTATTTAAGATAAGCATCACAAGGCACATCCTGTGCCTGTCATCCCCAACTGGACTCCATGAGACAGCATGACACTGGCTGCCATGGGAAGAGCAAGTCAAAGTAAGCACCATACACACACAGCGCCCATGACAAACAGCACCCAGACACCTGGTTTCCAGGGCCAGGAGGCAGTGCCCACCTGCCCAGAGCGGCCATACCCTTTACCAAGAGGTGGCGCTGGGCCCACCATCCTCCCCAGTTTGCCTAACTGGGCAACAGGGGAGGCTCCTCAGTAGCAGGTCTGAAGACAGGCGCTGGTCTGACAACAGGGAAAGACAACAAAGCAAGTGAACCTCCTGAGACTTCAGTCATTGAGGATGCTGCATGGACAGAGTGCTGAGCACCAGGCCAGAGGCCCAGGCAGAGGAAGTGGGCCCAGTCCTCACCCTGCTGGAAGACTCCATTTGGTGGGCATCTGGCTTCAAGTGCTTCATAGTCCTTTCACAGTCCCAAATCTGACATTTGGCCCATGCCCAAGACTACCAAAGTCATTTATCTCCAGCACTTCCTGCATCTCCAGAGGGTAAGATGAGGTCTTGCCCCAAAGGGTGCCCTGCAAACATTGCCTGGGACATGCTGAGTGTGTCATTAGCAGAGGGTGCCAACCCTTTGCTAGGGTTGGGGACACCTCTGCCACAGGAGCAAGAGTGCAGGAGCTGGGCGGAAGGCACGGGCTAGGTGTTGACAGCTGTTACTATCCTGCCCTCTCTCTCTATAACAGGTGGTCTCCAATACCTACTGGAGACTGTCAACTCACCTAGCCAGCCAAGAGGCCATGCAGAAGGGGGAGGACTGATGGGCTCAGAAATCTAGCCAGCCCAATTCCTGGAGACTTTTGATGTGACTTTATATGAAAACAGAATCTTAGCAGTGCAATGAGGAGACTCCCTTGGAGGATCTCGTGAGCCAATACAATCACATGAGAGAGGTAGGGAGATCCCAGACAGAGACAGAGAGACATAAAGAGGGAAGTGGGAGGGAGACGACAGAGAAACAAAGAAGGGAGGAAAAGGGAGCTGAGGGGTAGAGAGAAGGAGAAGCAGGGAGGGGAAGGGAACAAGGAGTGACATGACCATGGAGGCAAGGCTGAGCAATGTGGCCACAAGCCAAGGGATGCCAGCATCCACCAGAAGGTGGAAGAGGCTGGAAATTCATTAGTTCAGAGAGCTTCTAGAGGAGTGTGGTCCTGCCCATAACATGCCCACACCTCAGCAATGCAGGACTTCTGGACTTGAGTGCATACATGTGTTGTTTCCAGCCACCAAGCACGTGATGACAAGAGAGCAACCCCAAGAAGCTAACACAGAGAGCTCACCTCACTCCATGTGGGCAGAACTCGGCCATCCCCACTGCCTACCTCTGCAAACAACTCATCCTGGGAGCTACCAAAGCCCACATCACCTGAAGGGGGACTGGCCTGGGTACGCTCTGGCCTTGACTGTTACTGCTTGGAAGGCTGGGGCAGGTCCTTGGGCCCTCAGAAATGAAGGGGACATGACGGCTTACTTTGCTGGGTAGTTGTGGGGATCCATTTGGGGAACTGGAAAACATGGGAAGGAGGCCTGGGAGCACACTGCAGGCTCATGGAAAGCCGAGATCTACTCAAACCATGTGAGCCAGAAAGGTGGAAGGAGGATGGGAGTTCTATTGTTTGGTTTTATTCCTTTGGTTTTGTTTTCCACAGTGGAGATTGAACACAGAGCCTCAGTCATGTTAGGCTGGTGTTCTACCCCTCAGCCATGCCCCATGGAGCTTGTTTTAAAGGCAAAAATGCCAGGGAAGGGGCACACGGAGGCTACAAGAAACTGTGCTAGGACAGGAAGAGTTGGCCCCTTTATACTGTTGGTTCTCATGCTACACAGGTCTTTCTACATGGTGCAAGGCAGGCCCAAACTCAGCTCCCAACACCCACCCACTCTGGGCACGCAGGCCTGGGCACAGAATGCCCCAGGGAATAACAAGTGCTGACAGGGACACAGAGAAGGGAGACCCATGCACTGCTGGTGGAGATGCCAAAGATGCAGCTGCTGTGGGGAGTCAGAGAGTGAGTCCTCAAAAAACCAGGAGCAGAGCTATTGTAAGTAGCTGTGCCTCTGGACATACGGTAGTTTTCTCTTAACTGAGGTTCTGCTTCCAGGGTTGCAGTTACCAGGAGCCAGAAAATATTAAATGAAAATTCCAGAGAAAAACCATTCAGAACTGTTTAACTACATGCCACACTGAGTGCCGTGAGGGCACTGGCACTGTCTAGGACCCATCGTTACTCCTTTACCCAGTGCACTACCTGCCCACTACTCACTTAGGGGCAGTGTGGGTATCAGATCCACTGTCATGGGGTCACAGTAACCCTTGTTTTACTTATAACAGTCCCAAAGTGCAAGACCAAAAATGCTGACCATTTGGATATGCCAAAGAGAAGCTGAAAAGTGAGCTTCCTTGTAAGGAAAAAAATAGAAGTTCTTGACCTGGTAAAGAAAGAAAAAAAACATCGTGTTCTGAAGTTACTAAGATCTGCGGTGAGAACAAATCTCTCAGTGAACTTGTAAAGAAGGAAAAAGAAATTTATGTCAGTTTTGTTGACATACCTCAAACTCTAAATTTATGGCTACAATGTCTGATAGGTGCTTAGTTGAGAAGGAGAAGACATTAAATTATGGGGTTTATACTGTGAATGTCACTTGATCAGGCCTTCAGTGGGCGAATTCATGTTCCTTGATTAGGGGCGGTGTATACCCAAAATGTTGGAAAAAAGATCTTAAAGCAATATTTGAACACCCATTTTCACATCAACATTATCCACAGTGGCTAAAAAAATGGGTGCAACTTTGAGTGAAGCAAAATGTGACATGTATTAAGCCTTTAAAAGGAAGAAAAAGCTAGGTAAGACCAAAAAAAAAAAAAAAAAAAAAAAGCTAGGTGTGATAACATACTCCTGTAACCTCAGATCTTTGGGAGTCTGAGGCAGGAGGATCCCAGGTTTGAGTCCTGTCTGGGCAACCTAGCAAGACCCGGTTGTAAAAAAATTTTTAAAAGCCTGATGTGGTGGTACACATGAAATTCCAGCACTCAGGAGGCTGAAGCAGGAGCATTATTGAAAGTTTGAGGCCAGCCTGGGCTACATAGTGAGTTCAAAGCCAGCACGAACTACAAGAAGAGACCTGTCTCAAAAAAGAAAAGGCTACACTGGTGCCTTGTGTGTCTTGTGTATTTATCCCAATGAAAATTTGGGAAAAAGAGAATCCTGTCAGAAGGGCTCCCATCTCCCTGTGACTCCCTGTGGTGGACCAGCGGGGGCTGGGTCACTCTTCGGGGTTGTGGTCTGTCCTCTAAAACACCTGAGGTCCATGGCGTCCACTGCAGGCTCTCCTTGGAGCCAGGTGATTATGGACTGAAACCTCTATGCCAGTGGGCTAAATAAACCTTTCCTTCCTTCATTTTGGGTGCTGGGTATTTTGTCCCAGCACTGAGAAAAAAGTCACCAAGACATATGGTTTCTCCTATGTGAGAAATCCAGATATAAATAAAGAGCAAAACAAAAGATGGATAAGAAAAAATTGAAAAATTTTTTACAAGTTGAAAGCGGATTAAAAAGATAGAGGAAAGATAGTGGAAGAGAAAGGGGAGTGGATTAATGAAAAAAAGAACTGTGATAGGTTATGTACATGTATTAGCTTCCCATCAGAGATGTGATCATTACATACTATGAACAAGCACTAATAGAAATAAATAATAAAACTAGGAAAAATACTTAAAATAGCCCAGTATAGATTGTTAAGTGTTCTTATCCCACATACATTAAAAACTATATAATATACAGGTTAATTGCCTCAATGTGGCCATCCCACAATGTATGCCTGTTTCAAAACATCATATTTGCACCATAAATGTATACAAACAACTTCTGTCAACTAAGAAACATTTCTCTAGTGTAACTGAAACACTGCACCATTTGACCAACATTTCCTCATCCTCTACATAGGCAGCCTCTGACCACCTTTCTAGACTCCACTTACAAGGAAGACCATGCCCAGTAGTCAGGGGATGCTTGGGGACTGGTTTCAGAACCTCTGCAGATACCAAAACCTGCAGATGCTCAATCTGTTCTATAACAGGCTGCAGTATTTGTATACAATCTCCACAGTCCTTCCTTATACTTTAAATCCTCTCTAGACGATTTACAATATCTAATACAATGTATATGCTATGTAAGTAACTGCTGCCCTATATTGTTCAGGGAATAGTGACAAGAAAAACAATTTGAGCATGTTTGGTACAGATGTGTGATAATTCCAGCAAATACTTTCCACCTTTAGAGGCTGAATCCACACTTCTGGCAGATGTGAGGGTCCCATTGTTTGCCTTTTTGTGCTTGAAGTTTATCTCCTTGGTTTCAACCTGGAGGAAATTCCTCATGTGACTACAATTGTTTTCTCCAGTTTGTACCACTGTCTAGCCAACCTGGGGACCGGGCTCGGCTCTGGAAAGCCTAAGGGCTTCCATGGGGTCCTTGCCCCTGCCCTACCCCCTTTCTGGAGCCCTCTGCCTGTGCGCAGGGCATCAATCTTAACAATGGGACAGCATCTTCCAAGTAGGATGCATTCCAAGGTTCTCCTGCTGGGTGGCTGAAACCATGCACAGTAAGTGCTCTGCATGCCCTGCAGCACTGACACACAGTGCGAGTCAGCTCTCATGGTTTATGCCTTGGTGCTTCCATTGCACCACTACCCTTGGGCTTTAGGGCCTTTCTTACATAAAGCAAGGTCCCTGGAGCCCAAGCACTATGGTGTGCAATGTTCAATCTGCTATTGGAGGTTACTCACTGACTGGCAGGTGGGGGTGTAAACAATGAGGATGTGCCAGGGAAAGGGGTGATTCTCACTCTGGGTCAGGTTGGGCTGAGTGACACAAGATTCATCACATACCCAGAAAGGTAAGCAACTTAAAACTTCACAGCATTTTCCCTTTAGTATTTTCAGGTGAAGCTGACCACAAACAGCAAGACCATGAGTAAGATGGGACTCTGTAAGTAGGCCACCTGACTCGTGGCTTTTCAGGAGGGGCTGGTCAGGACAGTGTCCCTTTGGCAAATGCCCCTTGGATGCTGGGTGTGGCCACCAGGCCCACCATGTCCAACTAACACAGAAGGTCTTGCCTTCACTCATAAGCAACTATGGGGAGCCCTGTAACTGGCTGCCACCTTCCATCTGCAGGCAGCAGCCACCTTAACCCTCTGTAGGAGTTAAGTTTGTAGTTGAGCAGCTCCTTGCCTAGCCTGTTTGGCCCATTCAGGGATTATGTTAATTGGCCCGCCTTATGAGCCCATGAAGAGGAGATTTGAATTAACCTACAACCCTCGGACAACCCTCAGTCTTGCCACTGATGCTGTTACCTGATGATGTCTCAGAACCTAAGTCTCTCCTCCCCCAATACCCTATATATTTGTTACTCTTCCTTTGAATAAATGAGACTTGATCAGAATCCTGTCTTGTCTCCACTCTTCGAGTCTCTTGTCTCTTCTCATCCCTACTCCCCCTCTAGCACCTACGCTGACTCATCCGCAGGCTAGGACGCACAACATTCCTTCCACAGTGACCAACAGAACGTTCAGTCCAAACTCCAGGTCTGTAATGCAAAGTCTCCCAGAAAAATAGTCAAGGAAAGTATGTGAAGCAGATACAATATGGAGTGCACATGCCAGCAAGCCACAGGCTGTCGGCAGGTGGGATCTGGCTGGTGACACAGCAGGCAAATGTCATGGTATGCTTCTGTGGTAGGGTGGCACAGTCCAGACAACTCTAAAAGGTCAGTTCTTCCTACCAATGAGCCTATTTTAGTGAGATCATCATGTTTTGTCTTCTGTCATACATCTGCTGGTGACAATGGATGAGACTTTTACATAAAGTCTAAAATATGCCAGGCCCATTTATCAGCTTCAAGGCTAATTTCAAGGAAAGATGTTCCAAGTCCTTCTGTTTGCATCAGGGGCTGCCTATAGTGCAATCAAGGAGGCAGCCAGGAGTGAGGCCTGATCACCTGGAGCTTCATCTTCTGGTATTTCAACCCCCCTGGCTTCCCTAGGAGCCAGAGCTGAAGCCTGAGGCCTCCTGCTGCAAGATATTTCCATGGTCTGGGGCTGGGCACACCCACCTCAGTCAAGGAAGGGTGAGATCACAAAGAACTGCTAGTTCTCGTGCGCTTTGGCAGCTCCCAGCCCTGGGACATGCACTGTTAATTAGCTCCTCCTAGCTGGTTCCCTACCTGGCCTGGTGCCTGGAGCCTATTCTAAGAGTGAGGTGGGGTCAGACCACAGAATGAAAATGCAGTCCTGAGTGGGCCTTGTGGAGACAAAGCCCAGCCTCAGTTCCTGCTCTTGGGCCTAGGAGATGCTGCCAAGAGGAAATCCCCCAGACCCAGGTGGGATGAGGGGACCAGGCTTCCCAGAGCCTAGCAGACAGAGCAGGAAGTTGGATAGGGCTCTGTTAGCTGAGCAAACAATGCATTCTTCAGGAAGACAGGGGGAGGCCCTAGCCCTGGGTATATGAAGGCTTCTGGGTCACACTCTGGAAGCTCGCCTTGGGTCCAGCAAGCATCTGCCAAGTCCCACTGTGCCATGAAGCTCGCCACCACCTTCCTGGTGCTCTGTGTGGCCCTGCTCAGCCACTTTGGTGAGTGTCCCTAAGGCCTTACTACAGAAGGAAGCCACTATCAGCTTTAACTCTGGGGCTCCTGGAAGGCTTCCAGACCTTCTGGAGTCAGTATGGCCTATGCCCCCAGCCTCTCCTCACATCCTGCTGACCCCCACGTATATGCCAACCCCAATTTGTTTTATGCCTGATGAATGTACAGTCACCCTTTGAGGTACTGTGCCTCTTTGGGGACCTGCCCTCTGGCCTGCATAAAGAGCAGCTTCTCCTTTCTCCAGCGCCAGAGGGCCTCCTTTGGCTCTCTGTAGCCTTGCCATGGGACCAAGGCTCTGTTCCCATGCCATCTCTCCCACCCATGACTCTACCAGGGAGGGAATAAGTAGGTGGTCCAAGCTACCAGGCAGGCCGTGAAGTAGGGACCCACAACCTCCTGGAGGAAACGGTTCCTCCTGGATGCAGACATGTCTCTCCCCTCCCGTGTGTTGGCAGGTAACACCACCCTTGTGGAGTCCCTGGCTAACCCCATGGCTGAACCCCTAGCGGCCTTGGCCCCTGCTGCAGAGGCTGTGGCTGGGGCTGTGCCCAGACTCCCTGTGCCTTTCAACCCCCTGAAGCTCATGCTGACCAGCCTGGGCATCCCAGTGGAGCACCTCATAGCGGGTTCTACGAAGTGTATTGCTGAGCTGGGTCCTGAGGCTGTGGGAGCCGTGAAGACGCTGCTGGTAACAGCACCCCCGTCCCACCCCTCATGGGTGTCCCTCCCTGGTTGTCCCAATCCAAGGCAGGGAGTTCTTGTCATCCTGTACAGTAAGCCCCCGCTGAGAGCTCAAGGTCTTTGGCTATAAATGGGTCTGAACTGCAGGGGGCTGCAAAGAGTCCGGGACAAGAGTACATAGTGCAGCCCGTGGGTGGTGGCACTGGCCCCAGGATCCACTCTACCAAGGCACAGCCCTCATGCTCTCCTTCTAGTCTGAGTGCCCTTGGACAGTCAGAATGAGGCCCTACCCTGCCTCGGCTCCCTTTGGTGGCAGTAGGGAGCACACTCAAGTTTCGCTTCTCTTTTCCAGAAGGTCCTGACTCTCTTCGGCTGAGTCGAGAATGGAGTAACCCCGAGAGACTGCTGCTGTCCCCTGCAAGGCTGGAAGCCCTGCTTCCACTCTGCCCACCCCTACCTTTCTCAATAAACATGGCTGAGCTTTATAGGTGACAATCCCTTGCTGGAAGCCAAACTTTGTTGGGCCGAGGTCCGAGCCAGATGAGGCAGGGTGTGTGTGACAGAGCACTTGGGCAGGAGCTCACCACTGACAGGTGGCACACAGCCAGTGACTAAGAGTTCATTCAAATGGCCTAGTGGCTCTGATTCCTTCTATTCTACCAAAGGGATCACCACTTTTGAACTGAACCCCCTGCTGATGGGACAGTGCCCATGGGATTCAGATACTGATGTACACTTCATAACAAGTTAATAAGCATAATTAACTCCATATTGTGCTTCCTGGGAAAAGCTCTATTTTACACTAAAACATAGGTTTGCCTTTTTCTGATCCTATTCTAACAGGAATATTCAAGGATTTAAACTTTTTTTTCCTTTGGTTCCACTTTAACAAGTTCAGAGGAGAGGGAGGAAGCCACTTGGATGCAGTTTAGGTTTGACTCTCATTATGAATGCATTGCCCAAAAGATAGTCAAGGGATATGAATATTGGTGGTCTGGAGTCTGGACAACCACAAGCCTCATGAAATGAATCCTTATGCATGTCTAGCGGGGAAGGTGGTGGAGACAAAAATCCTAAGCCCAACCCTGCCACTTTCCTATAGCCAGCCTCTTCGCAGACTGTCTGGGAACAATTCCTTAATGAACTGTATTAAATATAAATTATAAGGAAACATGGTATGCTGTAAGAGCGTGCTGGGACCAGCGGTGGCAGGCCTGCAGTGCTAGACAAAGGGCTTCATCCTGGAATGGCCCCGCTACCCTCCACCTGCAGACCTGGCCCAGGAAGACAATGGAGGGGGAGATGAAAGTGCTTAGAAGAGACTACATGTATCAGCTGAAGCCCCAGTACTCATGCAATAGCCAACTTCTTTCTTCTTGTAACTTCCTGAGTGACCAACTCAATCCTGAATGAGCTGGCTCCTAAATCTACTGTATGAAAAGTATAAATGGATAGTACAAAGAGGTAGACTGGAACGGATGCTGCAGCATACCACCCACATTTCCCCTTCAGGACAAAGTACCTACTTCCATCACTCTTGGGACTACTGTTCCAACTGCTTTCTGGGAATTGTCCTAAAGTATCCACTCTGTCCTAGGCCAGAGAAGTTTGTATCCAACAACTGGGTGGTGCAGACTACACACATGTGGACTCTGCCTCAAGGTTGAACAAATCCAAAGGGTCTTCACAGCAGCAAAGCCTCCTATGTGATGATCTGAGGCCTTCATGACTGTAACATTCAACTTCACTTTTGCCCAGTGTTAGTTCCTTTTTGTTCCCCACACCACAACACAATGGTTGTGGACTTAGGGTACAGACTTACACCCTGAGGGACTCTTCCACTCTGAGGCCAGTCAGTGGAAAATCCTAAAGACACTCCACCAATCTCCATCTCTGGAAAAAGCTAACACAACGACTGGCTGTCTGTTCCTCAGAAATGGCCTCCGAGAGATGGTGGCCCAGTGGTCAAGGGATGTGAGGCTTGTCAAAATATCAGGTTCTTAACACATCAGGCCCCTCCTGGTCTCCAGGAGATAGGAACATACCCAACAGAAGACTGCCAACAAATTCTCCTGAAGAGTACCCGAGCCCAAAGGTTTTCAATTCCTGGTGTGGCCAGACACTTTCACAGGGTGGAGAGACTTTCCAATGCAGTAAACCCTGGCATACGCACTGTATCATTTACAGTATGCCTGCATGCCTCAGTCCTCACGGAAAGGACAGGACAAATGGAGTCCTACAAAAACCACCTCTGAAAGCCAATTCAGGAGACACACAGCTTCCCTAGTTCACCCTCTACAGCCCTCCTAAGAATGAAAATATCCCTCAAATTGGGACCGAGCCCCTAGGAGGGCTTGTACAAAAGGCTGTTCCTCACCAATGTCTTCTAACTGGACTCTGAAGTGGCTGCTCAGGTGCGTTATGTCATCACTTCAGCACAAACTCAAAAGGCCCTCCAAAGATCAGGCATGATGGCACATACTACAATCTCAGCAATGGAGAGGCTGAGGCAGGAGGATTGCCAGCTTGCTCTAGTGAGTTCAAAACCAGTCTGAACTACATAGTCAAACCCTGTCTCCAAACAAGTCCCTCCAAGAAAAGGCAGAGAGCTAACACAGAGAAGGAATCCCTTTTGTACTCCTGGGCACATGGTCCTTGTTAGAGCACTGCCCACTGCCTTCCCCTCTTACCTCTGCCTGCAAAGGGCCATTGTGTGTCATACTTTCTATCCACTCTGCCACTAAGGGCATAACTCTGGTCACCTTCCACTTGCTCAAAGCCCTGAACACAGCAAGCTGAAGAGCCCTCACCAGCAGGGGAGGATGATCTCACAACCTACTCCTGCAAATCTTTGGAGGGCCTCAAACAGCTCTTCAGTGACTCCAAAAACATACGTAACGGTTGATAGAGTAGCTTTAACTCATCCCCTATTCTGCATTAATCTTTTCCTCAGCTCATTCTGGTTCTCCACTGGTACTGTTTATTTTGCCAGTTCCTGAGGCCTGAAGTTATGTTTACTGTCAATATATTGGCACCCTAGCCAGATGTGGTGGTGCATTCAGGAGGCTGAGGCAGGAGGACTGCCATGAGCTTGAGGACAGCCTGGGCTACTAATGAGTTCAAGGCTTGAACTGCACAGTGAGACTTGTCTCAAAAAAACCCCGAAAAATAAAAGATTGTTCCCTGATATCCAACAACGCATTCTGGGCTGTTCTTCTTCCATCTTCTCTCCAGCAGGTTATTAGGATTAGAGGCTGATTACCCTAATGTGCAGGTACAGCAAATTCACTCAAAAGCCACACGTTCGTTCGACAGTGAGTCTTACACAAGTCTACCTGTGAAAGTTTGCAACCTGAATGTTCACTGTCAGAGACTTATGCACAAGGATACAGATTCACTAAGTAGGTATGTGCTGTGACATGACTTACACCTAGTTCATACACATGCCACCTAAAGCCCCAAAGTTACCCTACTCTAATACTGCTGGCAGCACTTCCAGATCCCTGTTTGTTATCCAAATACTGTAGACACTGGTACAGGAAACCAATCTGGCAAGGACTAGGTCTCCTTCCTTGAAACCCATGGTGCCAACAGTGGAAGTGTTTATTTTACCTTCCTCAGAGATCTCACCCTCCCGGTATCCTTGTGTCCTGTGGCTTCATTCACCTGTTTTAATAGACTGAGATGCCTAACAATTGTCCTGGACAAAGCCAGCCACGTTATGCTGCCGCAGGGTGGTGTAACCAACCACCAGTCACCAGAGGGCAGTCTTGATCTCAGTAATCAAACCTTGCAAGGTTACAGTAGGAGTCCCTGCCTCACTGGGTTACTCAGTCTCCCCCACCAGCAGTGGGGCACAGCACTTTTAATCACATCCCTAGAGACCTTTAGGAAAGACAACTCCACACTTCAGAAAGAGGAAGGGCCACAGAACTACGTGTGTTCCAAGAAAAGGGAAGTATTTCAAGAGAAATGGCAGTGTCTTCTACTTAACAAGCTGAGAAAAAAAGACATTAATTGTGTATTTTGATCACATCTCACAAACCAAACAGAAGCCTTTCACATTCTGTGAAGCAGTTTTTAAATACCTTTGTTAAGGTTTGATATGAAGGTGACACTGGACTCAGCAGAAGTTTAGATTTCTCTTTTTGGAAACTTTTGAAAAATTTCTGTTTACACAATACAAAAATAGCTATCAATTCTTAAAAGAGTCCACACACCAAAAAATGAATACACCAGGAAAAGAAAAGCAGCGTGATGTGTTTGCAACAGATGGTGTTACCTGCACACTGGGGACCCTAGAGGATGCTGTGTAATTGTATAAAACCCACTACGCTGCCGGCCTTTAGGGAAGAAATTGAAAATGCATCTGCCCAAGCAGCAGTCTGCTGTACTAATGAGTATCTGGAAGCCAATGGCCGCCACTGTGAGCACCTCTGAGAACTGTAGAGGCCAAAGGCGATGGGTATTAACCCCATCATATCTCAATAAATTCAGTATTGAAATATTGAAGCAAGTTTTTCTTTTCCTGAAGCATATTTTTTTGGTGGGCTCTGCATTTGTTAGAATTGACCGGTGAAACGATCTGAGCCTAGGCTTTTCCTTTGTGTTTTTCATTAGTTATTCAATCTTTTTACTTGCTATATATATACATCTACGCATATTTTATTGACTTAGTTTTGGTAGTTTCTCTTTCCAAGACATAATTTACATCATCTAATTCAATGGCATCCAGCTGTCCACAGTATTGTACATTTATAGAATTTATTCTATAAATTTGGTAGCAATATCCCTCTTTGTTCCTGACTTTAGGAATTGCCCTCCTTGGCCCCTTCAGCCTACTGAAGACTCACCTAACGTTGCTCATTTTTCCAAAAACCAATTTTTGGTTTTGATTTTCTATCTATTCCAGGATCTTCTGTTCTCAGTCTTATTTCCTATCCTTTACTTTGGGATTTGCTTTCCAGTATATGATGAAATGCTAGGTTAGTGAATTATTTTTTTCTTTTAGTAGTCTTTATTTTTCCTTTACTGTTTTCTAGACCCCATGTTGATATTTTTACTTCAAAGAATTTTCTAATTTCCTTTCTTTCTGTTTCACTATTTAGAAGTGTTAACTTCCATTATTTCTATGTTTTAAGAAATTTACCTCTTTGACTGGGGAGTATTTTAACTTCAGTTCTTTCAAACTTGTGGGAGTGGCACATTACCTAAACTGGAAAATAATGTCACTAGATTTTACTGGTCAAATCTATTCTGTTTAGGTGTCTTCCCCATTAACAGTAAGGTACTGCAGTGTCCAGTTTTTACGGACTTATTTCTCCCTTCCATTCTGCAGGGTTTGCTTCATGTGGTTTGGTGCTGGTGGTGGTGGTGTTGATAGCACACTTCCTATAAAATATGCCTCTAGATATCTAGTAGTTTTATTTTCCTTGGTCTACTTTGTCTATTAGCACAGCCACTTCAACTTAACTGTTCTGTCTTTTGATACAAGGTCTTGCTATGTAGTCCAAGCTGGCCCTGAACATCCTACATAGCCTAGGCTGCCTCCTGAATGCTAGGATTAACAGTACACCACCACCTCAGCTTCCAACTTCCTTACAATTTATTTCCACGACAGTTTTTTCCATCCTTTTGTTTCAAACTAATTGTGCCTTTGTACCTGACACACACCTCTGTAGACAACATATAGATAGCATTTTTTATGGTGTCTTTTGATAGGACTACTTAACTCATTTGTCATTAATACATACTATATGTGAGTATTTTGTTGCACTTATCAGACACTTTACCTTTTGTTTTCTTTGCACTTTGTGATGAGTGAGTTCTGGATTGCAGTTTGGGTTTGTCATCACAGGCCCTAGACATAGAAATGATGAAATCAAGTTTCCCCTAGTAAGAACAGTGACCAGACCAAACTCACTCGTCTTCTCTCACACTCTATACAGGAAATGAGGTTCTTGCTAATTCTACTCCCGAAACATCTCAAACTCCCTCTCCTCTCTACTCTTACTCTACCCATGTCCTTCTCAACTTATTTGTCAAACAAATCACACCCGAAGCCAGCTAACTAGTCTGATACCAATTGAGTTTTATTCTCCTCATCCACCCTCCATAGTGCTGATCTTTCTACTAAAAATCTGGTAATGTTACTTCCATTTAATAGTGTGTGTGGCTCTTTACACCACCTACAGGATGAAGTCCCAGCTTTAGCAAGCAGTTCAGCCTCTACCCACCATGTTCTACCACTCCACACCTCTAGAGCTACATGTTCTCCATCTGTCAGTTCACAGTTCTATTATTCATCTTGGAGACAAGTTCTTAACTCTTCAAAAAACAGCTCAAAGAGCATGTCTGAATTTCAGAAGACAGCTGTTCCCTACACACTCGTGTACCTCTAACACGGCACTGGACTGCAATGATCAACAAGGCACAGGGAACGTATCTATAAATCTCTAATTCCAATCTACAGGTAACATCTACAATTCTAAACATCTCAATTCTAAGTAAGTATTGATTGGTATATATCAAGAAAAGTGGTGTAATAACCACCTTTATTCACCAAAATGAACCTATTTCCAAGTCCTTTCCATCAATTTAGCCTGGCAGCTTAGACTCACTTTGATTACACTAAAAAGCATAGGCAAAGAAAGAGTCCTCAAAGGTCACATCAATTGAAGTAAAGCTGCTTACGAAAGAGCCAAAGTAATCTAATGGCTTTTGAGTATATTAGAATGATGTGAAGTTTGCAGTTTAAAGAAAATTAGAAAATGTGTACCTCCTTATCCTTTTGACTAGAAATACTTTATATACTAAATAAAGTATACAAATTGTTTGCATGCTACCCTGTAATCCAATTTTCCCAATTTCTATCTTTTCTCCAGTTGGTTAGACTCATCTGAAGAACTGACTTAAGAATATTATTCAAGGTAAATATACTTAAAGAAATATTTCACAAACCTTCCTAAAATTCTAGTAAAAGCTTCTCTTTACACAAGATTCTTCCACAATATGAACTTATTATCTTTGTAACATTTATGAAAGCTTATTTTAAAACCAGTTTACACCTGAATGCCTAGTTACAAAAAGGAATCCCTAGTATACATGACTTTGTTAACTAAAATCTGAAAACATTACACTAAATATATTTCAACTCTTGTTTCTTTAGGTGAGTATTTATTTCTCTAAAGAAAATTAATGAGAATTTACAAATTAACATAGTAAACATATTTGATGATCTTTTTATACTTCTTTTGGACAATTAAATGGAGGACCAAAACTCATGTTATATATAGGCAAAATCAGACACTAAGGATTATGTGACATGTCTAGCAAACTTTCTCTAATTTTTTTTCTGAATGATTTTTTCAGCACTTATATAAGTTATATTTATCTGTCACAGAAATAGCTTTTAAAAAGCAAGTCAGTCCCCCCTCCCTTTACCTATAAGCCCACATTTGAAGATTTGGGAAGTCATGTATTTTTAAAGCTTATATACATAACAGAACATACACATAACACATGAAACATTTAATAAATTAGTATAACCCCAACACAATGTTTGCTACTGTATTAAAAGTATTTATTTAAAATATGTCCACCTCCTTCCAAAAGATGGAAGACACAGGAGCCCATCTCTTATATTATGAGGTATATGGTAACAACAACAATAATCCTAAATGCAAAAGGACCATCAGGTGCTTAAATATAAAACTGAACTTTGGCAAAGATACGAGTGTTATACAAAATAACACAGCCAATAAGATAATACATATGTTTTTACACCATTTCCCCATATCATGGCCCTGTCCCCTTTCACCCTTCCCTTTGAAAGGGAGAGTTATAACCCTGTCCAGATGACTCAGAATTTGAAGTGTGGTCTGACATTTATTTTTCTCAAACTTCAGTATTACTGCTGTACAAACTACACTTTAAAATATTTGAAACAGATACTGAATTTATTGGTTGGCTATGAGTAGGAAAATACATTGGTAAAGAAAAGAGACCCTGTATATAAATATAATACTAGCAAGTTACAATTTGACTAAGAAAGTTCCACTGAAAAGAAAGAGTAAAAGCCCTTGTTACCACCAGTCCATATGGTGTGAATTCAGTTTTCCATTACCCTTATCAAAGAGCTGCCTAGACAAATGTGACATTCTTTGAGCATAGTGCAGATAATGTGCTGGGTTTTCTTATTACACGAATGGTAAACAAGAGTTAGTCCAGTGCACTACACAACATAATGTACTGTGAATAAAGACTAGATACTCTAAAATAAACACATCAACATACCAGTTTTTAAATTTTACATAACCAAAAGGAAGAAATGAACACCTTAAATACTGTATGTGTGTGTGGGACACAGCCTTACTTAAAGTGTTCTTCCAATTACCTGCAACAGCTATGCTGGATATTCCGATTTTGGCAGGACTGGGAATTAAACCCAAGTTCTTTCATGGTGAGCTTCACTTCCAACTCTTTTTATAAAATTTATTTTGAGACAGGGTTGCTAAGTATTAAATTGCCCAGGCAGCGCTCAAACCTGCGATCCTCCTGCCTCAGCCTCTAGAACAGTGGGATTATAAGCATGTACCACCACATTGGGCTCTGATTCATTAAAAGACCAAAGGGCTATAACTGTTTTGCCTAGGTTGGTTTTTGCAGGACATGACCCCAAGTTTAAAAGTCACAATGGAAACTAATTCTGTTGTTGTTTTTTTATCTGCTACCGGGGATCTAACTCATGCCCTCGCACTTGCCAGGTAGGCGTTTATGCCGCTGAGCTAAATCCCCGGCAATGGAAACTAATTCTATAAATTTGAGTAACAAAAAAAGTGTAACTTTAAAATTTGAATGTTATTATCAAAAACTTCAACCTTACGCTTTGAAACAAATTGGGGGGGGGGGACACCAAGGATCAATCTCACAACCTCGCACTTGCCAGGCAGGTGCTTGTGCCACTGAGCTATATTCCTAGCCCAGTTCTGAAACTATTAATTTCAACATTAAGAAGTGCATGCCATTCAATTTAATGATATCCTTAGGTTTCAAAGTGCTAACCCAAAATAAGTTCTCCTGATTGCCCCCAATCAAAAACACAAATGAAAACTCACTTCTTAGAGATGTTCTTGGCCTATCTTCTGGGACTATTAAAGTTGCAATCAAGAATTTACTTCTACAACTTTAGTTTAAATTATGCCATAAATTAATTTTGAACATTATTTAAATTCTCAAAGCATAAATAATTACCATTAATATGGTAAAAAGTATTCAAGAGATTTACAAAGAGGAATTGAGTGCCTTGAAATTTCTCATCTTTAAAACAGAAAACATAACCCAAATTTTCTGTATAACATTCCTAAGATGATTTTTCCAGCAAGAACACTGAAATTACATTATGGCAAACATGAAATACATCTGATACAGAACTTTTGTAAAATAATCTATACTGTGAAAACATACTAGTTTTTATTGCGTTTTAGGGAGTATGGATTATTGGAAATTATTCAGGACATCGAAAATATCTAAAACTTAAACCCCAGCTTAATGAAAGTATCATAGTCTGTCAAAATACTTCTTTGTATTTTGAGGATTCCAGCTATAAATCTGCACTCTAGTTCAGTGTCCACTCTCTACAGTGGGAAGCCATTTGAGCTGCTCAGCAATGCCATGTGCCTGGAACAGGCTAAAGGAGTCTTCCCCAGATACAACAGGCTGTTACAGCTCAGTGTGTGGGCCCCATACCTCAGACATACGCAGACAGTAACAAATACAGATGAAAACATTCTGTGTAAAGCTCCAACCTTTAGCATCTAACAAGTGCACTCTAGTTCCAGCATCTACAAAAAGAACGTATCTTCTATTAACAGATACAAAATAAGTAAGTGTTCCTCCCCTGCCCATCCACCAAAGCTCTCTGGACCTGACTCCCCTTGGAAAGTCGCTTCCTCCGTCAGTCCTCCCAGCTCCAGTCAGCCTTACTGGAGATTGTCATGATGCACATTACAACACAGTGTTTAGAAAAAATGAGTAAACACATTTTTATTCTCACTTTACAAAAAAACCTACAAAAATACCATAAAGTCATGAACTGGTTCTACACCAGTAATACCAGCTTTCCAATGTACTGATCATAAACTAAATGTGTTTGATGTCGGCACAGTTTTAAAAAGTGCCAAAAGGAAAAAACAAACCAAAACCAAAACAAACAAACCCCCCAAAACAAAAAAGCCAGAATACAATTCTTTGTTTAAAAAATAAAACCAAACTAAAACAAACCAAAAAAATAAAAACTCTTAAAGGAAAAATCAGGTCCAAGACAAAGATTCGAGATGAAAACCTTTTGGGAGAATTTCTTTAAAAGGAAACAAAGGAAGAAAGGGAAAAAAACATTTATTTAAAGAGTATTGTAACTTTATTTTCTCTTAAAAGAAGAATAAGCACATTTAGTGCTTAACATTTTTCATAAAATTTTAAGTCATCCAAAATGACTCATTCTCTATAAAAATTGTTAATAACAATCAACAATTTTTTTTCTTAATGCTCACATGGTGTCCTTTTGCTCCCCTGCCTGCAGTTGAAACAAAAGCAGACCAAACACCCTCTGAATTCATTTGATTTTTCAGAAGAATGAATGAAAACAAAATATATACAAATTAACTCTGCAAAGTTAAAGCTGGCTCTAATCTCTAATCTACCAATGCCACTATGGGCAAACACAGGGTACAATGCAACTTTTATCTTGGTTGACATCTGACAATGACTTGGTCACTTTAAAAATGATCTAAAGAAATGTCTTAGGGACCCGTTTTGAAAATGCATCTAATTTATACTGCTTCATAAACAGAAAATTATTTTTCTTTGAAAAGGAATGATTTTAAAAGAAAATCTAAGAGAACAGAGAATACATGAAAAAAAAAAAGAAAAAAGAATTCACATGATAGTATTTTGGGTGACAAACAGCACTGTGCAATGATACCACAAAGCAGTGCGTGGGTCAGGTGAGCAAAGACCCAAACTATAAACATTTTCCAAAACGTGATACTTTATGCTTCACAATGGGAAAAAAAGCCACAGCCCATACAAAAGCATTTTCATAAAATTCTCACAAATGTTAAATAATATTTAAAAAATATAAAAGAGGATGCACAGATTTTTCTCTGCGTGCACAGGCAGTGCTTGGTGAGAACAAATTCAGGCAGGCACAGTGGAGAGGACAGGATGTCTCAAACAGGAGTCAAGAAACTGCATTTAAGCAGCTGTAATTTTTTAACTTAAAAAAGTTAAAGATTTAAAAATATCAGAACATACATACACTAACCATCACATTCAGTTCATAAATGCCTATTAAACATTTACTGTTCAGCTTATCTGTCGTAGTAGATAGTTTCCATAAAAATTGAAGAATTCATGAATAAGTTGCCTCTGGTCCAAAAAAATGTCCTACAGTTTAAGCAGACTTAAAGAGCAATGTTCTCAATTTAAAAATAAAGTAGTACAAAAGGGCTAACAAAACCCTAACAGTGCAAATCACTGCAGAGAAAGTCTGTTGCAACTCTTTTACAAGCTGGCCTTCAGAACACAAGAAACAAGGTAAAAAATTTAGCCTTAGTTTACAATACAACTGTTTTCAAATTTGATTACTCTTAAGTATAAAATTTCATAAGTCAGACCATACAGAGTCATAAAGGCTAAATTGAAATTCTGTATTTTACAAATAAGTCTGAAAAAGGGTGTAAAGTCTGGAAGAATGGTCTCTGGATGTTACTACTGGCCTCAAAAAAAGTAGTGCTACAGATTCCTGTGCAAAGAGAATATGCTGTTTCAACATTTTCCTATTTCAAGGCATGAAAATAGTATACTGGCGAGAAGAAACAGGAAATTACTTGTAACGACTCAAAGGTAGGTGCAAACACACCACTCCCTGTCTAGCAGTATACAAAGCATATTGGGCTCAGAATGTGTCTGTTGCTAGCACCTGGCTTTCACACTATGTCCTTTTATTAAACCATCAAATTGAAAATTCAAATCACCATTAAGAAAACCTTCTAGCCATACCTCACCCTTATATTCAGATTTTCATGAGTTTACAAGTAAAACTGAGGTTCTCCTCTGAAGGTACTTGACTACCTCCTGCCAGAAAGGTGAATGCCATTGACTTGGGGCAGGAAAGGCAGTAAGAGCTCCAGTTGTGCAAAAAGTGAGAAGTGGTCAGAGGGGATGAGAGGGTGTGGGCAGCCGCTGATATTGTTCTCAACTAGCCAATGGTGGTCCAGAGGTCCCAGGATGCCTAAAGTGTTCAGCTGAGGTTTGGAATAGAAGATGTAGTCAATTATACCCTGAAAAACAAGAGTAAGAGAAAAACACAAGGCCCCACATTAAGATAACACCAAAATACAGAGTGGTTTTAAGATGTATGCTTACAGTTACATTTGGTAAACAAAAGAAATTACTAGCTTATAGGAAGCAGTACAATAGAAACCAAATGGTCTCACAAATGTCAAATTTACCCAAATTAGGCTCTTTTTCCTGCAAGCACCATTAACAAATCTTCAACTAGAATTAGAAGACCCCTCTTGGCCATCTTTGCTGTTCTTTACTAACATAATGTGCCATTTTCTCAAACGACTCACCACCCTGCCACTGTACAGCCTTTTGGGAGGTGGGGTGAGAAGAGCATCTATTTGCTAAATTCCTTCTAGCCCCAGGACCAGAACACAGGCTCTCCCTTCTACTGGCAATATTTTCTTAATATTTGCCATCTGGTTAGTTCAAAGTCAGATTCAATCACTTTCTTGTTCCCACTTATATAATATGTCCAACCACTGATTCGCTTCCCTTGCTAATGCTCTTCCCAAGGTATGATTACACACTCATTTGTGTGGGTGAGACCTGTTGTGACTTTGATGTGGAATGTCCTCAAAGACCCACGTGTTAAATGTGGCTTCATCTCTAGGCTGGCTCTGCTATGGATTTTTGGGAGGTACAGCACAGCACCTTATGTCACTAGGGGTAGAACGTGAAGGAGACTATGGAACCCTGGCCCCCTCTTTTCTTTTCTCTGGTTCTGTCTCTCAGTCAATGAGGTAATAAGTTTGCTCTGCTACTTGCTCCTACCCATTAGGCTCTGCCTTGCCAGAGGGACCAAGAGAAATCATATAATGGGACCTCCAAAACCACAAGCCAAAATAAAACCTTCTCCTTGTAAGTTAATTATCTTGTTACAGGAATCTGGCCAATATATAAAGCCTGTCACTCCCAGCAGACTGCAACTGACTGAGGCAGGGGAGGCTATTTCCACCTGCCCTTGCACATCCTTCCAGCAGCTCCTGAGAGTTGTAGCCAGCATGCAGTTAAGATCTGGTGGCTTTGCCTCTGTCTGTGATTCAGCCCCTCTTCCATATGCTCTTAGCCAGACACTGGAATGTATTCCAGTTAAGAGGAAAAACTCTATCCTCTCTCCAACCTTTGGTTACTATGTTCACCTCCTCATTAATCAGTCTGCCTAAAAAGCTGGGAGGAAACAGTACTTAAAGAGAAACACAGGTCATCATTTTTACGCTTTTTAAGTGGCAAGAGCTCCCAAGATAGCACCTAAGCTCTTACTTATACTCTAATAGACAATCTAACAGAACACTTATTTTTCTAGCAGGTTAGAAACAGGAACTGTAATTTAGTAGAACAGAAATACAAAAAGTTACTAAAAAAAAGACATTTGATCAAAATAAAGTGACACAGCCAAGTAATCACTGATATAAAAAAAAGTGAGTCATTGAGAAAAGGTTCCACATTGTAAGATATTAACTGTGTAAGGCAGCACATAAATATATTTTAGAAACATTCAAAAAAGGATAATATAAATCATATTTTAGCACTCAAAGGAATACACTTTCAGCTAAACTGAAGTACACATGAAAGAAGTTTCATTCTCACCTGACTACCAAATTAGGTATTACAGTACTGCATATCCAACTGAAAGCATATAAGAAATGGCCCCTAGAAGGTGAAAGCTAATTTAAGGATTAATTTACATTCGTTATTTCATCTGATTTCTCAGTGTGGAAAATATTCTAATAGATTAGTAAGTAAGGATGTGACATTAATCACAACTACAGAAGATCAATAAAAGCATACAGAATTTAAGGTTGTTTAATTACAGTCTGAGAAGAAAAAGAGACACTAAAGTACCCAGGGCCAATCCTGGAGTGTCATAATGTGAGACCCAGCAATAGTATTATTCTTTGTTCAGAGTGATATTAGCCGGCTTGGGTTTGTTCAATCCCAACATAATTGAAGATATGGATAACTGCATGTATGTTTAAGTGTAGAGGATTGATAACCATATTTCTAAGTTTTTGTTGGATAGTACAGAACTGGTTGCAGTCTCACTGTTTGAATCCCCACTTTATATGCTCCACTTTAGTATCCTGAATAACTATTTGTAAGAGGACAATCTGTAATCATCAACTAGTGATTTCTTATGTTTATTTTTTTTTTGAAAGTATGTATTATTTCTATCCATTTACTGTTTTGTTTAGTCTTTCTTTAAATAAAATTTTTTTAAAAAAGACACTGCAGTACCCAGTGCTGATCCTGGAGTGTCATGATGTGAAATCCAGCAATACTATTATTCTTTGTTCAGAATGACTTTAGCCTGCTTTAGTTTGTTTAATCTCAACATAAATGGAGATATGGATAACTGCATTATGTTTAAGTGTATAGGACTGACAACCATATTACTAAATTTTTGTTGGACAGTTGAACAGAACTGTTTGCAGCCTCGCTGTTTGAATTCCCACTTTACATGTTCCACTTGTGTATCTTGAACAACTATTTGTAAAAGGACAGTATGTGAACATTAACTAGTGATTTCCTACTGTTTATTTTTTTCTCTGAACATATGTTTTATAGTCTGAACACACACCACATTTAAAGCCAGGAGTCCATCATAAGACACACCTTGAAATCAAATGTGTAATTCGTGTAAGGCATCAGGCCACTCTCATAGGCACTCTTTAACTTGAAACCGTGGGTGATTCTTCCATTGGTCATTCCATTCTTTCCATTACAGCTGAAGTTCATAAGACTTTCATTGTATCTCAGTTCCTTAAAGTCTTTGTGATTTGTTTCTACCCCACCTGTGCTCAAATATTCTACAACACCTAAAACAAAGAGACATGTACTTTTACCATGTCAAGTGTATTATGTAGTAAACAAAGTATACTTCAAAAAGGTCATACAACAGTAATTAATTTTAAAAATATTCCCACTTTCTATCTAAAATGTTTTTAGAAAAATTTTTGCTAGAACTTGTCCAAATCTATTTCACAGTTGTAATCTTTCTGCATTAAAAAAATGCATCTCAAATAGATGTGCCTTAATTATCTTTATTTATGACTGCATAAAACAACTGAACCAAAGTGTATTTGTCAATAAACTAGTATCTTGTTTTTAAAAATTCAGGTTTCTATTTTTTAAAAAGAATTAAAGATAAATACCACATCAGCATCTTAAGTACACACATTTCAGCTTACTCTAAATTATTTACAAGACAATTATGATCTTTGGATTTTACATGTCACTTTGTAACACCGCAAACTATGGAAGAGAATCTCACTAGCTAGCTACAAAGCAGTTTCATCATCCCTGGACACTATTTTCTCAATTTCTTAAGTATAAAATAAGCTCTGCAAATATATCTTTAGTCAGCATGAATAAATATTATCCCATGTATTTTCTACTAACACACTGTACATTTTTTTCCTTGCTCCCTGTAGCTAAACAGAAAATGTAAAGTATGCAGAAAAATTGCCAGAAATTAATAAATTCCTACACTATTAGCAATGCCCATATAGCTGACGAGATGGATGGAAGAATAACAGGTCTTAGCAATATTTTTATTTCCCCCCAAACAACTCTTAAGATAAGACAGTTTTTCCTTACTGGCTTTTATTTTGTGATGGCAATAATGCCCCGCTAAACTATCTACTACAGAGGCAGGTGTGAGTGAGAATGCATGTGTCCGAGTCCAAGGGAAAGCATTCTTATGCACAGAAGAGTGTAGACAAAGAGCTGGAACACAAACAAGAACCATCTAGTTCACTATTACAAGGGCTACAGTTTATCTGCTATACCGTCTATGGAAAAGTATATGCTCAAGATCAGGTTTTCTGTATCTCTGACTTTGTGATTTAAAAAAAAAAAAAAACCAAAATTCTTCTTTTTATTAAAATGACTTGAACAATCTATGTAAACAAATGATCTCAATTCCTATCTGAGGTGCACTTTTTTGAACAAGTCACTTAAAAGAAACATTTTAAGAGTGTGGCCAGGTCTGGTGGTACACACTTGTACTCCCTGCTTTTGGGAGGCTGAAAAAGGAGGATCACTTAAGAGTATAAGACTAGCCTGGGTCACTGAGTGAGTTCAAGGCCAGTCTGAACTACATATACAGGGACATTGTCTCAGTCAAGCAATCCAACAAATAAACGTCATATAGTACAAGATCAGTCAAATTCTGAGTTTGTACTATCACATGCCAGAATTCTCAAGAAGTGGACTTAGTAACCTTTTGGGAATCTGGATAAGTTAGGATAATAGATGTTCGTTCACAAGTTATTTCAAGTTAATACACTGAATGTTCTTTTATTTATGATGCCTAGGTCCAGAAGTGTTGTGGATCTCAGGTTCTGAAGTATCTGCATATACCTAATGATCTTGCAGTTGGGATCCAATTTAAACAAGAAATTCAACTTATATCTCATATACCACTTACACACAGTAGGATAAAGGGAATTCTACACAGAGTTTTAAGTATGAAATGCAAGTTTCATGATGTGGAAACAGCCACTTGTGATATGATGTCAGTGCTTTAAGTTTGCTATTTCAGGTTTTGGATTAAGGAAGCTCAACCTGTACCACTTACATGTTTATCAAAGATGATTAATGACCATTCTCCTTAAGTTTCCATAATATCAGTTCTTTTTCAAAATGATGCCCCTACCTCACACATAAAAAATTTTAAAGTTTGCTCCTGACTGGCAACACAAACTGAATTTTCATTGGAATTATCAGAAACAACTGCAAAAACACTTTTAAGTCAAAAATATTTGCACTGTATAATACTTTTTTCTTACCAGAGTCTGGCAATGAATTAAGATCTGCACATAAAACAAGAGGAATAGATCCAAATTCATCCAATATACTGGATTTGAGGCTTCGAGAGGCTTTATCAATAATATTCTTCACTTCTGAGAGGAACATCATAGTTTGTACCAACTTCACATCAGAGTATTCAGGGTCCCAATGCATATGAGCATTAGCCACAAGAATAAGTTGTTTTTCTGTTCCAAGATGTGGCTTTCCAGCTACATTAGATAAGAAGAAAACAAACAAAACCCCACCCATCAGCCTAAAGATTCTTAGTCTGAAAGCAAGTTAAATGTATCAGTCTCAAAATAGAAAAGAACCTCAAATTTTCTAACAGTTCTCCCTCTCTTCCCTGACTACAACAAGCAACGCAGACACCTAAATGTTTGGGTGATACCTTCTACTACAGATTTCATCATTGTACTTTCTCCTTACATCCCATTCTATTTAGGGTAGTTTGATTTTTAAGTAGTTCTGCTCCCTTTAAACTTTCAGTCTCATATGTCCTAAAGACTGAAAGTTTAATCTAAACCCTCTTTCTTAGATATTAACCATTAAGTTCCACTGTCTACCTTTAACATCTTTAACATCCTCCCCATTCCGACTATTCAGAAGTTTTAGTTCTCAGCATGATGGCCACTTTATGCCTTGAAGATGGTCACTTTATGCTTTGAATTTGAAGTAAATGGACTATTTTCCAAAACTCAAGATTTCTAAATAATTATTACAAGCAGATCAGGAAAATGAGCTAGCTTACAGAATATTTTATCCACTGGTAGTTATTTTAATTTTTACTTTTTTTCTATGTGAAAAATTCCTCAAAGCAAAATATGTAAGTTTTTTTTAGTTATGTGTCTTTTTGACATTTGTAATATTTTTCTAAGCAATGTTTTATTATCTTAAGCTTTGTGGAAAAGATATTTTAGAAAAACAAATTCTCACTGAGTTTCTTCAGGTGTTTGACAAGATCATCAATATATGAGATGTCTGTTTTTTATTCTTTTTGTAAATGGTAATCAGAATTATTAAATTTTGGAGATCAATTTTACAAAAAGTGAAAAGGCCACTCACATGACATTTCAATCAATTCCTTTCGAAGTTCTAGCAGTACTGCAACTCCAATGTTATCTTTTGTCATGACTCTGTTCAGCATAGCTTCAGACCCTTCTGAATTTGCCATTGCTAGCTGATTAAATTCAACAGTGTGTTTCTGAACCAAAGTAAATCTAAAACAGAAACAAAAACACACACATAAACAAAGAATTGGAAATATCAAGATATGAGTATTGTGGGAAATACAGTTTTCCCAAACTTCCTTAACAGATATGGTGGCACTTAAGTCATATTATGGAAAATCTCTCACATTCAGCATCAACTTTCCCACATCCATTCAAAGTTGTTTTCAATCTGTTATTGATACAAATAACATCTTGAAATACCTTTACAAATTAATGTAATGCAGTAATCTTCCATTTAGATTTCATGCTGGAACAGTCCATCTTATAATTTATAAATAATTCTTTTTCAAAATACAGGTTTAAGAATCCCTCTATCATCCTAGAGGAAATGTTAAGGATGTAGTATTTCAAATAACAATTGGAGTTAAAGTCCTAGTAAACACCTGAAGAAACAGCAGCACTTTTAAGTATATCTACAAAACAAAGTTATTTCTGATGATTAAAAACAAACAAAAACACCTAAGTCAATAGTATTGTTTTCTTGATTAGTATTAATGCCTCATTCTCTTATATACCCAAGTAATTTCCATACCCTTGGCCCCCACCCTGCAAACACCAAGAATACTTCTCTTTTAAAAAAATGAAAGGACTTACTTTTCTGTCTTGAAGAATATTGCACAGCCATCAACATGTTTTCTTTCTTGTTCTGACATTGTCCTAGCTCGAGACTTAGGACTAAAGAATCCATTATAGCCACGTTCTTTCAGTTCTACCAGAAAAAAACTGTAATACTGTTCTGTTTCAACCTCCTGAAAAAATTGTAAATGGCAAAGTTACTTCAGAAAATTAGCCCTATACATTAACTCCGTGTGTATAGTCTTTTAAAGCTTGAAGTCATAAAAGACTGAGCTGCTGATTAAAGAATGTAATACTGTTCAATCTATCTGAAACCAATCACAACATATATTTGTTCTTTTACAGATACCAGTTACTGCCAAGGTCAATTCTTTTGTTGTTCAGGAGTAACAAATGGGAAGATGCACATTCATGAATGCGTGTCTTTATGTCTTAGGATTGATGAAATAAATCATAAAAGTAGAAAGAACTTCATAGATCATAATTTCAGACCCATGAGAAGACACTGACTTGCCCAAGGTTTTGTAAGTTATTATGACAGCTGCAATGAAAGCCAAAGTTACTGTGCATAAACTGTAATTCTTTTCCTATCATGCCCTAATTAACTCTTTTAACACTAATGGTAAAGTAAAATTATCTAGGTAATGCTACAATTTCCGTTACTTTGCCACCCAACTCAAAAATAGTGTGCAGAGACACCACAGGAGGCAGGAAAGTGAATACTTATCTGCTACTGTAAACGCTTAAAATGAGCTCAACACATTTGCTTATGTGGTAGTATAGTGTGGCAAAGCAAAGCCGATAAAGCTCTTAGGATTCACACACACACACACACACACACACAAAGAACAGCAAAGAAAAAAGCCAGTATTTTAAGAAATGCTGAAGCTACATTTTCAAATGCACCAGTGTAATGTATTCTACTGTATTCATCCCTAGCTTTACCAATGTTTTAAGATTCTTGCACTTTAAACACTCTTCTGTGTCACTTACCTGAAGACTTATTATATCAGCATTGCAGCTCAAGATTTCTTGAATAATGGCCTTTTTCCTGTAGTCCCAATTTAGTGCCCATGATGGACAGTAGCCATATAACTGCCGGGTCGCATATTTATCACAAAGAACATTATAGCACATGACAGAAAACAAGGCTGTAGAAAAGATAACTTTACTTATTCACACATAGGTGGGATAAAAGGTAATTTCAGTAACAGTTTTCATTTAAATGTTAAGTTTGTTTTTATTCAATATATATTACTAAAAAGCTACTATCTACCACAGAGAACATAAAGATAGCTCATGAAAAGACATACACGAACAAATTAGAATACCAGTGTTATCTGCTATAAAGGTAAGCACAGAAAGTAAGTCTGAAGTTAAAAGCGTAAGCTCTTGAGCCCTTTCAACATCTAAAACCAAGGCTCCTCATTTCTCTACTTCTTACACTAAGTCACTGATTTTTTTTTTTTTCTTTTGTACTGGGGATCAAACTCTCAACCTTGCACTTGTCAGGCAGGTGCTTATGCCAATGAGCTAAATCCCTGGCCCAATGATTCTTAATGTAGGGGGGGGAATACAGAAAAAAACTACAGGTATATCTAAGAGATAGCATGAGTTCAGTTCCACCCAATGCAATAAAGGTGAATACTTCAATGAAGCAAGTCACATGAATTTTGTAGCTTCCCTGTGCACATAAATGTTAACATTTATACTAAATTACTATCAGCATGTAAGAGCATGTCTAAAATAGGATATGTAAGATATACTTTATAGTTTAAAAATGTCAGGCATTATCCAAGCTTAGAAAAACGACGGCAGACTTGATCAACATAGCACTCTAGCAAATTTTCAATTTATAAAACAAAAAACATAGTTATCTGTGAAGCACAATAAAGCAAAAGTACAAAGAAACAAGGTCACACCCATAGTGTTAATTCATGCAGAAGGAAAGGAATATCACAGACCAAATAATGTTACATGCCATAGGCGCTTCCAAACTATTTTCATATAATTTAGGTTAAATACACTTGGAACATTTTAAGATTTGGCAACTTTCACTATAGAAAGATCTTACTTATTTAAAAATCACTTTGACTGATGCCTTATAGCAGGGCTTCTCAACAATGGTACTACTAACATTCTGGGTAGGTAAACTATGGGGACTGCTTAGCAGAATTGTTGGTCTCTATCTACTAGATGCCTGTAGCACTCCTCTTAGTTCTGATAATCAAAACTGCCTTTAGACAGTGCTAAATGTTCCCTGAGCATAATACTGCACCTATTTGAGAAGTTGACATTATAGGAGAACACGCACAGAGGACAGATAAGCTAGAGTGAAGTCTCTATTGTGCCCTCTTATAATCCAATCAGCCATAAGTATTCAGCCTTACTGTTTGTTGCCCATTACCTAAACAGTGACAATGAATCATTTAGAGCTTTCTATGAGAACAAATCGCATGATGCTGCACACATGCCATAAGTTTACCACTGCTGATCTTTAGCACGTGAAGAATACTATACGTCTTATTGAGATCAAGTAAAAGTAAATTACAAGTTAGGTGACTAACCAGTTGGCCTTGTTCTGTCTGGTTCTTGTAACATAATCCAAGACCTTGGAGGTGGCTGTTCTGTAGAAACTAGTTAAATATAGAAAACATAAAATTAAACAATATTCTTGTATATCTTCCTAATAAGAAGGTTTAAACAAATGACCACTTACTTCTTTTTGCAGTACCTGACAAATTATCAAGCAAATAGTTCAGTAGCCTTCTTGTTCCATCTGGTTCCAGAGAGAGGTTCAATATATCCTGGGTAAGTGGATTTCCTAAATTTTTAAAATACGTAAATGAAACCAAAATAAATACTAAAATATTTCAAACTTTAAAAAATACAATAAAACATCCAATTTTCTGTAACAATTAGCAGTTACTAATAACTTACCAAACTAGAGAAAATACTATTTTTCAGTTTTTTATTTGCAATCTAAAAAATTTATACCATGTTCAACTAAGATACTCAAAAGATTAATGAACTGATGTCAATACAGAAGTGCTCTAGCAGTGCTCTGACCCCTACACCTCACCAACACATGGTTGTGACGATTAAAAGAGAATATAACTAGATGGGGGTGGGGGTAGGAAACTGGAAAGAGGGACTGCAGAAAGGATGACAAATATAATGACTCAAAGAGAAGTAAAACTTTGAGAATGCCATAAAGCTAACAAGAAAACACCATAGTGATAAATATAAGTCTTGTGTTTAGATTTTTAAAACCTACCTTATTACATTCATTACATAACAAAACAAGGCAGGCTTGGTAAGAGTTAATTTACTAAGAAAACAAAACAAAACAAAAAAATCCTGGAGCCACAAGCCATTTATAAATTTAACAACAGTTTCCAGCCAAGAACTAAAGCAAATACAATAACTTACAAGTACCTTCAAGGTCTCAAATGCTCTCAGAAAGACTTCTGTTATATATAAACAAAGAATAACAGCACAGTGCAATATTTCAAGCAGCCAAGTTCCTGCCCATGCTACACAAGTAGCCAAAGCTCCACTTAAGAAAGACTATAGATAAACAGATTGAAAAAGGTAGACAAAATTGCGAAGGATCTTAGCCATAAAAAGTAAAGAAAACTGAAAGGATAAGGTGTTTAATAATGATCACAGTCTTGAAGAAAAAGTAACTGTTCCCTGCTCCTGAACTCGAGTCAAAAACTACAGTCAAAAGCAGAATCAGAACCAGAACAGAAAAGGCCAATTCAGAATAGAAGAGGTTGGTACACAGAAGTAGTATAGAAGGTAAACTGTCTCACCATGTAAAGTAGTAGAGCTTTGTAATCAAAGAAACTAGATTACATGGATGAGAGAAACAGCTAAGTTAATCTTTAAGATCTCTTTCAGTTTACGGTTCTAAGAATTACAAATAAAAAATGTGCTACAGTCTGCAAGAAGACAAGAAATCATCTTCTCATATATGTACAGTTCCTACAGTCTGCAAGAAGACAAGAAATCATCTTCTCATATATGTACAGTTCCTACAGTCTGCAAGAAGACAAGAAATCATCTTCTCATATATGTACAGTTCCTACAGTCTGCAAGACAAGAAATCATCTTCTCATATATGTACAGTTCCTACAGTCTGCAAGAAGACAAGAAATCATCTTCTCATATATGTACAGTTCTTTATTCTTGCATCAGTCCTTTTATATTTTCATTTAGTCACATTCTTGGGACATATGCAGTCATTATGTATAAATTACCAGGATTTTTGTTAAGTTTTGGGGTTTTTCTTCAGGGGGGCCTTTTGAGATGTGGCCTCACTATGCAGTTCAAGCTGGCCTTGAGCTCACTTTGTAACCCAGGCTGGTCTCAAACTGTCAATGATATTCTTGCCTCAGCCTCTCAAGTGCTGGGAATACATACATGCACCTAGCAAGCATATTTTAAGAACACTGTTTCAACCAGGACATCTCCATACCAGATAAGCAGTCCATTTTAACCAGACCTACATTGATGCTCTTTTTTACTACTTTGTAGTGAAAAAACATGTAGAGATGACTGAAATTGTGATTCTCCCTTCTGAGTTCTTTGTGAATTAAAAACTACTCCTAAACATAAAAAATTCAAAAATTACGACTCTCTCAACAGTGCAAATGAGGTCCAGTGGTATATTTTCGTCAATGTCTATTTGCTTTTTAGAAATTTCTTCAATTTACAATTACTCTTCACTGCCTGGAAGAACAAAATGTTTATAGGATGAAGGAAACAGTCACAACAAAAAGCTTTAGAATTAAAGCATGATATGGTATCCTCAGAAGAAACAAAGATAAGGGACAAATTTTCAGGACCAACAGCATAAACATTTTTCCCTATTCCTCTTGCTAAATAAAACTAAAAATCCTACACACTGCAGAACAAAAACACATAAAACACATACAGAAGTGAAACACATATAAGACTCTGAAACGTGAAAAGACAAAATAGGTACCCTCCTGAGCTGAGAAACGCCATAACAGTGGTTTGTGGGTTTACTTTTTACCTCATATCCCAAAACCTTTTTACCTATATCCCAAACATGGAGCTGAAAAAAGCACTAATATGGAACTACCAAGGGATGCAGACCAAAACAACAACAAAAGCCAGACATTTAGCAAAGGGTTGACCAGAAAGGCAAAACAAAATTTACGTAAGAATCACTCAAATCCAATAAACACCGAAGAAAAAACATGGTCCCATAGCTACCTACCAGTAAAGACCAAGTGAGAAGCCCTACGGTAATGTCCACACTGAGCATTCAATCCCACACACCCTCCTCTCTATCAGGAATGAAGCTTCTTTATAATTTCCTTCTGAGGGATGTACCAGAGGGACCCAAGTAGAGACATGAATTTCACTACTCCTGGCAGTAATGAGACCACACCAAAGTAGTGTCTGTGGAGTCCATGTGGGAAACATTACCACCTCTACTCAACAGCAGTGAGCATCTCTTATCCCAGATACACCAACAAAGCTAAGTGAATGTGAATTTTTATGTTTTCTGGCAATAGATCGTGTTCTTGCTTTTCTTGCCATGGCAATGTTAGAGAAGTCAGCTAAAAGAAAAGTTTAAGATCCGCAATCTCCTAATATATTGTAAGCCCAGTTTCAACTAAAACTCACTCATCACACCAAGAACCAGAAAGATTTTAATGGAGAGAAGATAAATAAGAGATTCCAACACCAAGATAACAAGATAACAACAAAGAGAACAGAAACATTAGAATTATCTAAGATAAAGCAATCATGAAAAAATGCTTCAAGAGAAATTACAAACATGCTTGAAATAAGTGAAAAAAAAAAGTTCAGCAAAGAAAAACTGGCAAGTAAAAGGAGACAAATGAACATACTAGAACTTAAAAACAGGATAAATGTAGGAAAAAGAAAACCTCAGTGGATGGACTCACAGCATAACTGAAAGAGGAAAGAAATCAGTGAACTGAAAGACAAAACAGAAATGACTCAATCTAACACAGAAAGAAAACACCCCAAAAGATTAACAGACTCTCATTGTAGGATTATACCAAAAAGTTTACAAAGCCTTGGAAATACAAGACAAAAGATACCATGCTGAAAAATGCATTCAAAGAGATAATGGCTGAACATTCCAAATTTGGCAAGAAAAATAAACCTACAAATTCATGGGAGCTGAGCAAATCCTCAAACAGGACAAACCCTAAAGAATCCACATCATACCTCATAAACTAACTTCTGAACACTAAAGGCAAGAACATCTTGAAAATAGCCAGCAACCCAGAATTCAATTCCCAGTAAAAATGTCCTTTAGGAATGAAGGAGAAAAACAGACACTTCTCATATAATGATAAGTGAAAAGAATCAGCTATTCGTAGACTCCCTCCCCTCAGTGCAACACTAAAGGAAGTTCTCTACAAAGAAAATGACAAAAGAAATCTTGAAAATACAATTTGAAGGAAAAAATACAGTAAAAAAAATATGAACAGACTTTAGCTTTTCTTAATCATTCCTGATAGCTTAAAATATATTCATAACCTTGCTGTAGTTGTATATATAGAAAGTATTTTCAACAACAATATTATAAATTAAAATTAAAAACATTGAGTTAAAATTTCTACTTTTAAATTGAGTTAAAATTTATTTTAACTGCTAAAACAGTATCAGTAGACTGTACATCACAAGCCTTGTAGCAGCCACAGTTATACAAATATATATACTCAAAATTACTGACAAATCAAATTAGATACAGTAGTACCTCAGTTCACAAATATAATTTGTTTCATGATTTTGGAAAAGATGGCCACATTGTGTCACCCAATATAGAGTTTGCAAACAAAAACAAAACTATGCCAAATGTTTCTGCCCGAGAATGTTTGCAAAGTGCTCATGAATCAGGATACCACTGATATCTAAAAATGCTTAATACAAAAGGCAGAAGAAAGAAAAAAGAATAATAAAAACAAGAAATCAAAAAATACAAATGAAAGAAATAAAAGGAATAAAGATAGGATAGAAAAGTTAAATTACCATTATTTGCAGATGACATCATATTCTACATGAAGATTCCCAAAACTCCACCCAAATATTTTCAGATCTAATAACCAAATTCAGTCCCATAGCTGGATACAAAGTCAACACTCAAAAAATTGATAGCATTCCTGTACATGAATAACAAACTCACTCAAAGAGAAATTAGGGAAACAACACCTTTCACAATAAGATAAAAAAAAAATGAATACCTAGGAATCAATCCAATGAAAGAAGTAAAAAACCTCCACACTGAAAACTATAGTACTCTGAAAAAGGAGATTGAAGAGGATATTCAAAAATGGAAAGATATTCCTTACTCTTTAGCAGAAAGAACCGATAGTGAAAATGGCTATACTTCCAAAATTGCTATTTAATGCGATCCCAATCAAAATTCCGACATCATATCTCACAGAATTAGAGAACACAATCCTAAAATTCATTTGGAATCAGAAGAGACCTAGAATGGCAAAGGCAATACTGGGCAACAAGGCAAGGCAAGGGGCATCACAATCTGACTAGAAATTATACTACAAAGCTATTGTGATAGAAACATGTGGTACTGTAAAACCAACAGTAACAACAACAAAAACACCAGACCTAGGATTAATGGAAGAGATTAGAATAGAAGATGCAGAAACAACTCCAGACATCTTCTGAACATTCTCCAGACATTCTAAGGTCAAAGATCTTATCTTTGACAAAGGTGCCAAACACTTTCACTGGATAGACTCTTAATAAATGGCGTTGGGAAAACTGGGTGTTTACATGCTAAGACTG